AGTTTACAAATAAAACGTAACCATGAAGACAAAATAGAAGAAAAGGAAGTGAAACAACTGATAACAAAGGATATTCCCTTGAATTACTGGAAGCAAGAACTGATCAAGCTGCAAATTTATGACAACATAAGAAAGAAAGGGTAAGAAATTCTACAAGTACAAAGCAAGGAGATGTAATATATTTAAAGGACCTCAAGAATACACACCTTATTATCGATTAGAACTTCCAACATGTAATTGTTCCAAAGAAACCTCGGCTCAGCCTGTAAAAAATAATGCAGCACCAGCAGAAGTTATTTTCAGTTCTGCCGCAGACATGCAACAAGTACATAACTAATAAATGCTTCCAAAGAAGATAAATTTCCCAAAAGTAGCTATGTGGTCACCTGTCTCCACAGAGGAAGTGACTTAGACTCATCACCCAAATCATGCAACCGTTGTGAGCTGAAATCGCAAACATAAAGATCAAACTAAAAGGAAATAACTACTGAAATTCAGAGTAATGTCAGAAATGTTTTGGAATAAATTGGTTTGTGCAATGCCTAAGAACACTAATACAAGATATCTAATTTTCAACATCAATGTGTAAAAACAAAACATCATAAAGGACGAGATAAACAGTTTTACCTCAGTGTTAAGTTAACTTGATATGAGAAATAGAGACCAGTTGTCTTTTCTGCGACACTCAGCAGCTTGGAGAACTCAGTCTCCATCTTTTTCTGCCGGAAGTAGTATAATTCTTTGAGATTTTAAGATCCATCATTACTAGTAACATATTCAACAGAAAACTGGAGAGCACAGTGTTTACCTGTTCTTCAGGTGAGTTTTGAAGTGAATGATCACAAGGAAGAACCTTAAGCGTTGTAATTTTGAATATAGGATGGCCCAGAAACGATCCAACACGTTCACTCTCGGTTACAACCACCAAGTATGATCCTGAAGTAAATGAATAACGCAACTCTCAGATAGGTTTCAGATCTAAAATGGACATAAACCAGAAACACCTGCAACATACACAAGGCTATATACAGTATTGTTCCACATGATGATTGTTTCTAACCTGCAAGGAGCTTCAACATCCCAACCACACCAAAAATGGAACGGATTTTAGGGACACGCACGGAATTGCTTTCTGGGACATGATCTGAGCACAGAGTAGACGCAAGGGGAAGAGGATTGAGATAAGAACCATTTGCCAATTAATGGAATCAAACAAAACATGTTGGGAACAGAAAAAACCAACCGATGAGCTTCATGGAAGCATCAACACGACTAATATCCAAACATGAAGCGCCTGAACCATCAGCTGGCTCGATGATGTACTGATCGGGGAATTCCCATAAACGTAACCGGGAATGCAATTTGTTCCGAGAATCAGCCGTCTCCATACTAAAAATCAAACAGGAGATTCACACAAAATCGTTAAGGGAAAGACGAAGAAGAAGAAGAAGAAGATAATCTCTAACAGCGAACGAAGATGATGGAAAAGATCACCTGAGCTGGGGAAAAGTAGATCTGAAGCTTCGCCGTGAAACGTCGAGAAGAATTGAAATTATGGAGTTGCGTAGAACGTGCAAATGATTTTGCGTTAATCGTTAGATCAAGTCTTGACTCTGAATCTAATTAGTGGACGACCACCACATACTTACACCTTTCCAAGCCAGCTTAGTTTCTCATAGGTCACCGGTTCGATTCCTACTTCTTACCATTTATATATGCTTTTGATTATTTGATTTATCACAGAGTGTAATTTATTCCTTTAATTAGACTCGATCCAATCACTTTATTGGTCTCTTCTAAACAAGTTTAATTAGACAAATCATCGAGTCTTGACGACGACTTTAAAATGGAAAATCAACGCATGCTATAAATATGCTTTGGGATACAAATCTACAAGAGAGACAAAAAAGAGAGAGACACGATTCTATCATCATCAGGGACGATGATGAGTTTACATTTTGTGACAGTGAATACTCCTCCTAAAATGGAAACACTAGAGAATATTTGTGAAAACATGATGTTTCAAAGTTTCTTCCTCTTCTGTGCAGGATATTTCAGGAGATCAAGTCGGAGAATATGTGAATGCGAGAGACTTCCACAATAGAGATATTTACCAATCTTGTCACATGTAGCTATATGAGAGAGTTTTGGATCATGGTAGTATGCAATGGGATTCCCATCCAAATCCACCTGCAAAACTCCCGCATTCTCCATAAACATAAGATCCCGCCTGTGAGTTTCCTCAAGAAAGGGTATTTCAACGAGATATTCCACAACGTTGTTACTCCCTGTTTTCACAACCACAATGATCAATAAAAGATATGATACAAAAACTCATCATATATAAATTTGTGTACAAAGGAAATCAAATGTTATCGAATGTGATGAGTTTATATATGATGAGTTTTTGTATCACAGTGCAATCCAGTAATGTCCGTCTCCATCGTATCGAATGTTATCTGGATAACCTAGTAAGCTTGGAGTGAATACCTCCACACGCTCATCACTGATGTAATACTTGCTGCATCTTTTCCTAAAGTAATATATATACAACGGATATGGATAATATCGACTCACTGCCAATTGATTTTGAGTCGGAAATTTAGAAAATTTAACACATTCATCAATGCACATACATTGGAGCTTCACAGAAGATGAGATGGGTTTGGTCAGGAGAGTGATAGAAATAAGGAAGGGGACGATTTTGGAGAGTAAGAGAAAACGAGAGGAGAAATGTACAGGCATTGGAGAGACAATTTGAGTTTGTGGAAAAGTGGTGAACACGCCTAATTGTGTACTTGCGATTGAAGAGAAAAAACAATTAAATTAAACACGTTTATTTGATGATGAAATCGCAGATCATCGTTGTTGACTCAGAATGATCTTTGACTTCAGTTTCCAGTTAGTTGCGTTTAAGTAACCAAATCATTCGATAGTGTGGGCTTTTACTATATTACCCGTAGGCCCAATATTGTAGGAATTTATACACCTTGTGGCTTGTATGGTTTGGTTTCTAGTATTCACTGTTCTTTTTTCTTTCTAGTATTCAATTAAGGGACGATGAGTTTACATTTTGTGCCAGTGAATACTCCCAAAATGTAAAAAAGTTCCTTATTTGTATAAACAAACTTGATGTTTCAAAGCTTCTTGTTCAGTACTGCAGGGTATTTCATGAGATCAAGTCGGATAATGTGTGAATGCAAGAGACTTCCACAATAGAGATAGTTCCCAATCTTGACACCGGTGGTTATGTGAGAGAGTGCCTGATCATGGTAGTATGCCATGGGGTTCCCATCCAAATCCACTTGCAAAACTCCTGCATTCTCCATAAACATAGGTTCATATCCGTACTTAGCCGCCATAGCTGTGATTTTCCTCAAGAAAGGGTATTTCATCGAAAGCTTCCACAACGTTGTTACTCCCTGTTTTCCAATAACAGTGTTCAATTAAAAAGATGATACAAAAACTCTCATCATGTACTACTAACATGGTTATTGTACAATTCCCTAAACCAAAGACAAATCAGAATTGTACGCACACACATACCGAATATGACCGAGACCTAAACCAACTCAATAAACTATAAAGAAGGGTTTCAATTTGTATAGTTAGTTACCGAAGGCATTGCAATCCAGTAATGTCCATCTCCATCGTACCGAATGTTATCTGGATAGCCTGGTAAGCCTTGAATAAATAACTCCACACGCCCTCCATTGATGTAATACTTACTACATCTTCTTCTGAGAACAACAAGACAACAACTAAAGATCATGAGGATTCAATTACTGCACAAAAAGAGAGATATGTTAGAGAGAGTCGAGAGAGACATAGGGGTTTCACAGAAGACGAGATGGGTTTGATCAGGAGACATAGAGACACCATTGGCGAAGTAGAGGTCTTTGAGAAGGACACGTGTCACTTTTGTGGTGAGATCAAAGCTCATGAGACGACCATGTGGTTTGCCTTCCAAGATATCAAAACTAAACTGATGGAGACTGTATTTATAAGAAGCATCAGTGAAATACAAAACGCCGTTATCTCCAACAGTAACTGCATCCGTCAGCTTAAATCTAACGCCGTCCGCTTCTTCCGTTAATAATTCCGTCTTCTTCCCGTCACCGCTTATATTCAACAGTCCCTACACACACAAAAATCAAACCTATAATTGAAATTTCTCAAAATTCGATTTCAAAAAAATTCACGAACCCAACCTTGTACGCGTCAGCGACGATGACTTCGCCGTGGAGTCCAAACGCGATTCCGAGCGGTCTACCACCGGTATTGACCCAATCTTCAACGACTGAGTCATTAACCGACTCGGCGACCTTGACTCGTTTCACCCATCCATCAACGCAACCAGTATAGATGAAACCAGAGTCTTCATGGTAAGCGATATCTTCGGGGTTATTGAGAAGACCGACGCCGATAAACTCAGCTCCGGCGAGAAATCTGTCGTTTATAAGCGGCGGGCCGGGTTTGAAGTAGTAGAGGAGATGAGTGAGTCAGCGGGATGATGAGCTGGGTCAAACGTGTCGAGTCGGTAGAAAGTGATAGAGATGAGTAAAGGGACGATGACGAAGAAGAAGAGAAAACGATAAGAGGGAAATACAGGCATTGGAGAAGGATTGGGTTTTGTGGAAAAAATGGTGAATGAACAAATTTTTGAAGTTGATTTAAAAAGAAAAACACGTTGATTGATGATGATGAAATTGTTGACTTCTTTGTTCCGTAGTACGTTATGTTACGGAATCTTATGGGCTTTAACTATATTCCCAGTAGGCCCAATAGTTCATGGACTCATTGTCCATAACATCTTTTTAACGGGGACAAGCCATGATTTTGCTTCATAGTCTTGTTTCTCTCACTCAACAATGCTTCCAATTGATCAGAGTAATATGCTTTGTTCAATCATTAATATATAAAAGATCATGCTCTAACCTTTGTTAGTTATTGTGTATCTGACACCTTGTATGGTTAATTGTTTCAGGCTACTAATTAAATATCCTGAGAGAGACATCATTCATTCATTCATTCATTCTAAGGGACAATGAGTCTACATTTTGTGACAGTGAATACTCCTAAAAAGGAAAAATTCCGTACTTGTATAAACTTTGATGTTTCAAAGCTTCTTCTTCTGCTGTGCAGGATATTTCAAAAGATCTAGTCGGATAATGTGTGAATGCAAGATATTTCCACAATAGAGATAGTTCCCAATCTTAACACCGGTGGTTATGTGAGAGAGTCTCTGATCATAGTAGTATGCGATGGGATTCCCATCCAAATCAACCTGCAAAACGCCTGCATTCTTCATAAACATAAGTTCCACGCCATACTTAGCCGCCATGCCTGTGAGTTTCCTCAAGAAAGGGTATTTCATCGATAGCCTCCACAAATTTGTTGCTCCCTGTTTTCACAATACCATGAGCAAAAAAAAATGATGATACAATAGCTCATGTATAGTCATAGACTTTAAAGAAAAGATTTCAAATGGTATAAATACCGAAACCATAGCGATCCAGTAATGTCCATCTCCGTCATACCGAATATTATCTGGATAACCTGGTAAGCCTTGAATAAATACCTCTACACGCTCCTCACTAATGTAATACTTGCTGCATCTTCTCCTAGATAAAGTATATACATATGAATGAACTCATTAATTGCCGATTGGTTTTGAGTGCGAAACTTATAAAATCCAACATATTATCAATGCACATACATGGGAGTTTCACAGAAGATGAGATGGGTTTGATCAGGAGACATGGAGACGCCATTAGCGAAGTAGAGATCTCTGAGGAGGACACGTGTCACTTTAGTGGTGGGATCAAAGCTCATGAGACGACCGTGTGGTTTACCTTCCAAAATGTCTAATTTGACTTGATGTAGAGTGTATTTATAAGAAGCATCAGTGAAATACAAAACGCCGTTATCTGAAACGGCGACTACATCAGTCAACTTAAATCTAACGCCTTCCGCTTCGTCCGTCAATAATTCCGTCTTCTTCCCGTCACCACTTATGTTCAACAGTCCCTTACACACACAAACACAAAATCAACCTAAGATGGAGATTTTCAAAATTCGATTTCTAAAGAGTTCACGAAGCTAACCTTGTATGCGTCTGCGACAATCACTTCGCCGTGAATTCCGAAGGCGATTCCGAGCGGTCTACCTCCGGTATTGACCCAATCCTCAACGACTGAGTCATTAGCTGAGTCATGGACAGTGACTCGTTTCACCCATCCATCTATGCAGCCAGTATAGATGAGATTGGAGTCTTGATGGTAGGCGATATCCTCAGGTTTATCGAGAAGACCGACGCCGATAAACTCAGCTCCGGTGAGTGATTTCTCGTTGACAAGCGGCGGGATGGAAGTAGTAGAGGAGGCGTATGCATCGGAAGGAACTGGAGCTGGGTCAAAGGTGTCGAGTTTGTAGAGAGCGATAGAGACGAGGAAGGGGACGATGGTGGAGAAGAAGAGAAAACGAGAAGAGAAGAATATAGGCATCGGAGAAGGATTATGTCTCTGGAAAATTTGTTAGCACTTCCAAATTTAGAGTGATTGATTTGATGATGAAATCGTTCGTTGTTGACATTTTGACCCTTTTTTTTTTTTTTTTTTTTGTTGCGTAGTAAAGTTTCAACAGTCGAATCTCGCGGGCTTTAGCTATATTCCTAGTAGGCCCAATAATGTATGGCTTTTTAACTATTTTCTTTTTGCTCATAATGTTGTGATGAATAGTCCTAAATTGTAAAAGTTCCTTTATTCGTGTAAACTTGATGTTTTAAAGCTTCTTTTGTGCAGGATATTTCAAGAGATCGAGTCTAGTAATGTAGGAATGCAAGAGGCTTCCACAATAGAGATGGTTCCCAATCTTGACTCCGCTTGTTATGTGAGAGAATGGATGATCATGGTACAATGCGATGGGATTACCATCCAAATCCACTTGCAAAACGCCTGCATTCTTCATAAACAATAATTCCACGCCATACTTAGCCGCCATTGATATGAGTTTCCTCAAGAAAGGGTATTTCATCGAGAGCTTCCACGGCGTTGTTACTTCCTGTTTCACAACTCATTGATCAAAAAGATGATGATACAAAATCTCATCATCGTAAAAGGTAAACTTTAAAGAAAAGATATGTATAAATACCGAAATCAATGCAATCCAGTAATGTCCATCTCCGTCGTATCGAATGTTATCTGGAAAACCCGGCAAGCCTTGAATCAATACCTCTACACGCTCCTCACTTATATAATACTTACTACATCTTCTCCTAAAGTAAATAATATACAAAAGATATCAATCAATTAGCTCATAATTACCAATTGATTTTGATGAGTTAGAAACTTAACGAATTCAATCCACATATATACCTGACCGTTTCGCAGAAGACGAGATGGGTTTGATCAGGGGATATGGATATGCCATTAGCGAAGTAAAGGTCTCTGAGGAGTACACGTGTGACACGTGTGGTGGGATCAAAGCTTATGAGACGTCCATGTGGTTTGCCTTCCAAGAAATCAAAGATAAATTGATGGATATCGTATTTATAAGAAGCATCAGTGAAATACAAAACGCCGTTATCTGCAACGGTAACTGCATCCGTCAGCTTCAATCTAACGCCTTCTGCTTCATCCGTCAACAGTTCCGTCTTCTTCCCGTCACCACTTATATTCAACAATCCCTACACACACACCAACAAAATATCAAACCTAAGCTAAGATTTTCATCATCATTCGATTCACGAACCAAACCTTGTCCGCGTCTGCGACAATGACTTCGCCGTGGATTCCGAAAGCGATACCGAGAGGTCTTCCACCGGTGTTGACCCAATCCTCGACGACTGAGTCATTAGCTGAGTCGTGAACACTGACTCGTTTCACCCATCCATCAACACAACCAGTGTAGATAAGACCAGACTCCTTATGGTAAGCGATATCTTCGGGGTTATTGAGAAGACCGACGCCGATAAACTCAGCTCCGGTGAGGAATTTGTCGTTGAGAAGTGGCGGGATTGAAGTTGGAGAGGAGAAGAGTGAGTCAGGGGGAAGTGGAGCTGGGTCGAATGAGTCGATCAGTTGGTAGAGAGTGATAGAGATGAGTAAAGGGATGATGATGGAGAAGAAGAGCAAACGAGTGGAGAAGAACATAGCCATTCTAGAAAGATTGGGTTTGTGGAAAAAATATGGTGAACACTGAAAATTGGTAGTATATTCAAGAGATAGAGACGTTTGATTGATGATATACACTTGTAGATCAATCGTACCACGTTACGTAACTAATAACCACCATTCGATAGTCTGATCTTATGGGCTTTAATTGTATTTTATTAGGCCCAGTATTTATTGCATGGACTAGTTTTCCTTTAAGTATTAATTAAACAATGAGTAATATGGGCCTACATTATCAGGCCCAGTTTTTAACGTTATCTATATATACATTTTTTTTTATGACTTTTAGCAAATAAATCCTGGAGTTGGAATGTATTTACGGATGAATACCATTGGCATTAATTATTTAAATTTGAAAAATATTAATTAAAGATATTACCAACACGATTTCGAGAATCATAAATTCATATCTTCCTTAATTTTCTGAGTCATTAATGTGATAATCTTTAGGAAATATTTCTCTGTAAAAAAAAAAATCCACATTAATGAAGGCATTAAAATCGACACTAACAATTAAATTATTTAGATATTCAATTATTTTAAGATTCTTATATCTTATTTGATATTTTTTTTTAATATCTCATTCTTTAATTACTGCGTTTAGAATTTATTCGTTGTTACCTATTTTTTGGTGAAATTTATTGGTTGTTACTTAATAAGTAATTATGATGCGTTTATTTTAGTTAATATCTAATTTAAAGGATTTGTTTTCTTTTATTATTAATAAACGAATAACATGTATAGAAATAAAAGATTTTTCTTGCGACTCCATAATAAAAATAGGGAGACTCACAAAAATGCCCCTTTTTCAATACCCCTTTTCAAAAATGCCCCCTTTGGCTGTCCATTTTTAAAAATACCCCTTTTTATGTACAAAATGACTAAATTACCCTTCTTTTAATAAAAGATATCACAAATATAACAAAATTAGATCCACAAAATACAAAATATTTTTTGGCGGGAAAAGTGATCCCTCAATTTTTCCCGCCAAAACACTTGTAAAAAACCTTTAAAATACCTTGTAAATTTTTCCCGTAAAATTTTTTCCCGCCAAAAAATTTTCCCGCCAAAAAATTTTTTTTGCGGGAAAAGTGATTCCGTAATTTTTTTGGCGTTAAATTTTTGGCGGGAAAATTTTTGGCGGGAAAAATTTACAAGGTATTTTAAAGGTTTTTTACAAGGTATTTATAAGGTTTTACAATGTATTTTAAAAGGTTTTACAACGTATTTATAAGGTATTTATAAGATATTATAAGATTTTACAAGCTATTTTATAAGGTTTTACAAGTTATAAGATTTTACAAGTTTTTTATAAGGTTTTACAAGTTTTTTACAAGTTATAAATTCCTTATAAAACTTTATAAGTACCTTGTAAAACCTTTTAAAATACATTGTAAAACCTTACAAAACACTTGTAAATACTTCGTAAAACCTTTAAAATACCTTGTAAATTTTTCCCGCCAAAAATTTTCCCGCCAAAAAAATTCGCATAATCACTTTTCCCGCTTATCACTTATCCGCAAAAGACATTTTTTTGGCGGGAAAAAATTTTACGGGAAAATTTTACAAGGTATTTTAAAGGTTTTTTACAAGTGTTTTGGCGGGAAAATTGGGAGATCACTTTTCCTCCCAAAAAATATTTTGTATTTTGTGGACCTAATTTTGTTTCAAATAAGGGTAAAATGGTCATTAAAAATTAAAAGAGGGCAAACTTAAAAATGGACTCTCAAAGGGGGCATTTTTGAAAAGGGGTATTGAAAAAGGGGCATTTTTAACAATTTCTCATAAAAATATTAAACTCTTATTTTCTACATTTCTTACACATAATATCCTCTTATTCAATAACAAAAAATATATATTGCATATTTTTAAAAATATTTATAATATTTAAATTATATAAAAAGTTTGTAATATTAATATTATTTCAACTCTATACAAATTTAATATATATGTATATATATCTTATGGGAACCATTTAAAAGAAATTTTTAAATTGACTTGAATTATATAGCTTTTAAATAAAAGTATTATTAAAAAGAAAAATAACTAAATGATATTTAATTTCACGGGACGGGTAATATGATGGGACGGGTTTGGGTTGATATTTATAAAAGATAGTATACCACGGGTGAAATCCTAAAATTAACAATCAAAATAATCTATCAAACAAATTACATTTTGATTTTTTTAAGAAAATATAGCCCCGCGGTATACCGCGGGTTAAAATCTAGTTTTTGTTATTATTGAATGTGTAGTAGATTGACGTTGAGATGAGAGGTTCAATGTATCCAATTTTATGAAGATCTTTTGTCTGAAACGTACCACTTCTAAGATTCCCCGTACATGAATTTTTTTTTTTTTTTTCTAAATAAACTTATCATATAGTCATTTTTAACGGGGACAAGCCATGATCTTGATTCTTAATCTTGTCTCTCTAACTCAACAATGCTTCCAATTGATAATGAATATGAATCCAATGGGAGCCTTGAAGCACTCAATCGAATTAAAGAAAAAATTATACTAAAATGTATATGGTGAATGAATCAGGGGACAAAACGTTGATCCTAAATTCTAATCAACATTAAAGTAGCTTATAGTTATAAAATCCTATTTTGGAAATTTTCTACATGATATAAGTTTGATAATGTTGCTACGTCTTCCTCTTCGTGATTCTTTCGGATCCGTGTGACCAATTTAGATAAGTGGCTAACCCGGTATACTAGTCTAAGTAGGTATTTTCATATATACTCACCTCTTTTCTCGTACAAAAGAAATCCGATTTGTGACTCTCGGGAGAGCAAGAATCGCTACCATCTTGTTTTTTTTAACAAAAACACCATTGTCTCTTTTCCACTACTTCTTGACCCGACCAAAGTATGTGGTTCATATTGATAGTCTAAGTTTGTTGCCTATAACTATATTTTGTGAATACATTTCAATTGAGTTTTAACTTTGGGCTCTGACAGATAAAGACGAGTGAATTAACTCTTTGAGACGAGGTTCAATGTATCAAATTCCATGAAGATCTTCTGTCTGAAACGTACCACTTTTAAGATTCCCCGTACATTACATCGTCCCGTGATTTTGCACTATATCCTATACATGCGATCCACAATGATCCCTTCTTTCTTAATAAACAAATTTTATCATATAAGCATATCTCTTGTAACGGAGACAAGGCTAATATCTTAATTCATAAGTTTGTCCCTCTCACTCAACAATGTTTTCTAATTGATGATCATGATTCCAATGACAGCCTTGGAGCACTCAATCAAAACTTATAATACAACGTCTATTATTAGGGCACAAAACATTGAACCGCCCTCCTAAATTCTATTCAACATTAATTAAAGTAGGTACAGTTGTATATAATCCTTATTTAGGATTAGTCTTAATATAATATTTTCCCAATTTTAAAATTAGTGTCATTCTATAATTTTTTTATAATACAAATTAAGACAACAATTGAAAATTGTCTGTTAATACAATAATTCTTTTCCAAGTAACTCTCTGCATTTTCTCTATTTATTTTAAATAATAAAAAGCAGTTTATATGAATGAACTTGGAATTCACTTTGATTTTTTTTTGGTGAGCTGGAATTCACTTTGATTATTGCATTGAAAATGCAAAACAATATTTGTTGTGTAACATCTTTGGTAGTGTTGTGAGCTGTGACATATTTTTCCCCTTCACGACCGTCTCGGGAACCAATGGTGAATAGATAGATAATAAGAGAAATATGACAATTGGATGAAACAAGAAAGAGTTGAAATCTGAAAATGGTCTGCGACAAATGTTTCCATGTCTCTTTCATCTGACAAGCCCACTCTCTCCGGCTACTGAAATGGGAATCACAAAGGCAACAAGTAGTTATGGCTCTATCTATCTATGGTCCTCTAAAATTGGTTTCACGTTCAAAACAGAGCATAAAACAGAGCATTCAAAGCTTCCTTCACCACCTCCATGTGCATCGTGGCTTCACTAAACAATCACTGTTAATATTTAACAAATATGCCCTAATATCCCATGTGTTTCCTGCACATGCCTTCACGTCTCCATATATATACCCAACTTCTCTTCTTTCTTTTCTTCAGCAGAATCAAGAAACATGGCATTCCCTGAAACCAAACTTCAAATGCCCATTAGATCTATAAGTCTTCCATCAAGAATCCACCATCCTTCTGCTAAGTTTCAAGCTGCTCTCTCTCAGATTCATCTTTTCCAAAACTCATCTGATTCACAATCTCTTCAAGCCTCATTACTCAACCTCTCTGAGCTTTACCATTCCCTTCACCAACTCAATCACTCTCTTCCCACAGCTCAAGCTGAACATTCTCTTGACGTGTCCGCCACGTTACTAGACTCTTGCGACGCAGCGAGAAACCTAATCCTAACACTCAGAGAGCATCTCCTCAATCTTCAGTCTGCGCTTAGGAGAAAGGATAAATCCATGGAAGTTCAGATCAAAGAGTACTTTTCCTTCAGGAAAAAGATCAAGAAAGAGACTAACAAGCTTCTTCTTGGCCTCAAGAAGTTAGAAGGATCTGAGACCACCGACTTAGCCGTCTCTATCTTCCGCTCTCTTTTCATGTTCCTGTCGACAACATCGACCGTAAAGACAAAGACATGTTCTCTCAAATTCGTCTCCAAGCTGATCAGTGGTGGTCACCGATCGTCGTCGTCGATAATGAGCGAGTTGCAGAATGTTGATGTGGTTCTACGTTCAGATGGGGATAACTCCAAGGAAATGAAGAAGATGTTAGAGAGATTAGAGGAAAGAACAGAGGAACTTGAGGCTGCACTTGATTCTCTTTTCAAGTCTCTTGTCCAATATAGAGTTTATTTGCTCAACATTCTTACAACACACTCTTAGTTTAGTTAGTCTCTAATTGTACACAAAACATATATAGTAATAGATACTGATTCTTGTAAGAATTTAATGGATTCACTGGAATTATAAATCAGCAAATTTAATCAAACACTTCTTAATATATACCCAAGAAACTTATCTCAACAGAGCAAAGTTATGGAAAGGTACAATAAGAACTAATTTGTAAGATTTGTGTCCGTACTCTTACATGTCAGTCTACCATTGGTAAAAGTCCCATATCCCTCGTGCACATTATTATTTTTATAATTAAGTTTTGATGCCACCAATGATAAAGTCGTCATTATCATCAAGATCTTTAATTTCGGATGATCCACTGATTTAGTAAATTGTTATTTTTCTTAATGAATAATTAAAAAGGAGAGAGAGGAGTGGATCTTTGATTCCTCTTGTCCCCACACATTGATACAGCCAACTGTTCAAGGTTGCTATGAGGCCGACCCTATTTCAATTTTATATTGTACTATCAAGTATCAACTACTATTAAGTAATTATATAAGACAAAATAAATCTAAATAAGTAAATAACTAACAAGTTTTTTTATTACAATATCATAAATCAATCAACTTTTGCAGCCTGGTTTTGCATGCATTATTGTTTTCAACTAAAAAGATGCATGTATAAGTTAAAAACAATATAAAAAAAAATTAAGCAACTAACACATTTCAATACAAAAATATGTTTAACTATAGATGTCGTTTTATATCATTTTATAAGTTTTGTTCTCCAACTAAGAAATCGAATAGGATTAATTAAAACTCATCAATTTCAATTAAAAATCAGTATTATAAATACAAAACGGTAGTCTGTGTAACCTCCGTTTATTAGAAAATGGAGGTACAAAATTTGGAATGCATGGCTTTGAATCACATTTCCTAGTAAGAAAAGAATGGTCATATATCAAAAGTTTGGTTTCCTTTTGTATCACTCAAATACATAGAGAAAACATAGGAGCATGAAACAAAAGCATAAGGCTTCTTCATACCTTTTTAATTCTCTACAACAATATCATGATATTTTATTGAAGTGAGAGAAGAAGAAAGGAAGACACTAGAGACTAGAGAGGGATAGAAGGTAATGGAGGCGGCAATAGAGAGGTGAGGTGATGGGAGCAATGGCTCACTAATTATGGCAATTGGGTGGCACAATAATTACACAAAATGACAAAAACCCAAACAAACAATAATGAGAAACAAGTGTAATGTTAATAGTTTGCTATTTTTACGTAATTGAGAGTCCATTCCAAGAGTAACGTGACTTCACATGGCCCAACTTTTTTCTCGTCTATCGTCGTTAACTCGCAATACCTAAACCTTAGGGTTGTCGGTTTCCAAAACCCCGATCGATGTTACTTCAAATGAATAAAGAACTTATAATATATATATATACGAGCCTTTTTCTATATATATAGTTTCAACCTCTTCTACATATTTTTTTGCTTGGATTGGTTAAATATTTAAAGGAAAAAAAGTTGGTTGGAGAGTGTCGAGAGAGTTTGGTTTTATACAGTACGTAAAAACAAGTTGGTGTTTAAACTTTTCATACATGCATGGGAATGTCATTGAATAAAATATCTCAATTAAAATATCTTCTTGTACACCAATTAAGTTACATATCTAAGAAAATCAAAAAAGGAAAAAGTTACAAATCCAAAGCACGAGAAGATATTTATTATCGAAAGCCTAATAGTTAGGGTAGATATTTTGCTAGTTAGATATTGGACTATGTTTGCTCAAAAAAAAAAAAAAAAAAAAAAAAAGGATATTGGACTATGTAATCTAATTAGAGATGAGAGATGTAGTTGCAGGCTGTATTCTGATAGAGACTAGTCAAGTTCATGAATTCATATTAGTTAAGAAAAGGAAAGCGGTGCGATTGTGATTGATTTGATTATTAATTACTATTTGATCGTTTTCTCTGGAAGTTTTCAACAAGACACTCGTGCACACGGTCCCATATTTAGTATTATGATCCAACCACCATCTTCTCTTATATCATGAGATCAATCATTTTCTGTTCAATTATTTTCGGTGTTTAGATGATGCTAAATCTTCATTTGATCACACAAATATGAGAGAAAGATATGCTCACTAATTAAGTAATTAGAACCATTCATATCCATGCATGACGGTGTTTAATTATCAATACCCAAATTAAAGTTGAGGAAGGGCTTGACAAAATATCTTTGTTTTGATTCTTCTTTGCCTAATTTAAGATCTAATTAAGTGGGTACGTACATCAAATTATTGTTTGCTTCAAGAAAGGATTAAGAAAACAAAAACATGATATTTGCTAGCAGCAAATTAGGTACATATTGAGCGAACTCTAATGACATATGTCGAGATCATAATTAAGTGAGAGGAGGCATAAAAAAGAACATGATGAAGTGGTGGGCTTTGATGGAACAAAGAACATTATCCCCTTCACGTGGCTTTTACTTTCACAACCCAAAAAATCCTATTTCATTTGACCTCTCTCTAGCTAGCTCCCTCTATATTCTTACCAAAAAAAAGCTACCTCCCTCTATATATATTCATATTCAACTTCACCTTTAGCTAAAGCTCTCTCTCCATCTAAACAAACTCTCATCATCAATGGCTGCTTCTTATCACATCCGGTCTTGTAGCTTACCAGCTCGGTTACACCCACATGGTCTCAACCAGATTCAGCAAGTCCTGAATCAGCTTCCTGCAGATGATAACAATAGTCTATTGCTTCTCTCACATCTATACGACTCTGTCTCTCATCTCTTCAACGACTCACCTTCTTCACTACTACTACCTCATCACTCTTTCTTCACCCACCTTCTTGATCTCTCTCTTGTACACCTTGACTTGTGCTCCAAGCTTAGAGACATCACTTGCCGCATCAAGGACTGCCTCCGCGACCTCCGTTCTGCTTTCAGACGGAGGAGACACAGTGGAGATTCTACCATACGCTGTCACGTCAAAGCCTTTATCCGCTCTAGGAAAGCGGTTCATAAGGACATTGCTAAGCTACTCTTGTTGCTCAAACAAACCGGCCTTTCCTCCTCCGAGTCCACTCATCCCTTGATCACACTGCTCCAACAAGTTTGTTCCCAAACATGTCATTCCTTTAGGACAGTCTTGTTGTCCCTATCCACAGCTGTTCCCAAGCCTAGGCCTTCCAAATGGGCCTTGGTCACCAAACTGGTGATCAAGAACGTTACTAGTACAAGTGGTCAAGTTCGGACTGGACACAGAAACGAATTCCATATGATGGACGAAGAACTGCGAAGATTCAGCATGGCAGAAGAGATAAAAAAGGATCGCATCAAGTCTATGATCACCAACTTGGATCACGTAGATGTAGCTGTTGAAGATCTGGAGGAGTCGCTCGAAAGATTGTACAGGCGTATGATCCAAGCTAGAGTTTCTCTATTGAACATACTCTCTTTGCATATATAATTAACTCATTAATTATTCCATGTATGTATACAACATCATCCAAATTTTAGAGGAAACATGTTACCTTCATAGATTTTGGACACTGAAACAATGGAGGTAATTTTGTATAAAACTATAAATGAAAACTTAGCAGCAGCGACATTTCAACATATCGATGCAAGTGTAGGGTCTTGATCTATCCTCAAGTTCAAACGCAGTGGGGAGTGAGTCTAGATTATAATTTCCGCAACAGACGTTGTATAGGTTCCTCCGAATTCCTCTGCTAAAAGGGTGCACTCGTTCCGGAATATTCCTGTAAACCCAACAGCTTTAGTTTCAAGCAAACAAACCTGAGATATTATTTCGAGGTTATAGAAAACGGGTTGAATACCTCATGTATGGAATACGTCTTCGTCTCACAAGTTCGTAAGTGCTTTGATTTGTCAGAATTAGATAGCTGCAAGAAATCAGTTTCAAATAGAAACAGAAGCAGTAAGATAAAAAAAAGAAAATATGAGATTGTGAAAAATAACACAAAATGTGAAGACCCACCTGTGAAAAATCAATAGAAGCAGCACAAAAATCAAAGAGATCGCCAATATGACAAGCAGTAGTATGATAATTGCATTCTTCCACCTGTTCACATTACCATTAGAAATTCATGTTTTTAACAAGTTGGAGCTGCTAAAGGGCCTGCGAATAAATTGGCCAATACACGAGAAGATGAGAAATTATCATACCAAGGCTTTGCTACGTCACTCAGGTAGTCAACATACATGATGAGCGTCCAGATGCATAGAGTTGTCTCTTCACAGATGTACCACCTGGTATCACAAAACGCGTTACTGGGGTCTGAAAAACAAAAAAGTCTGATGCATAACAGTACCGAGTTATTGGACAATTAAACTGTACGACTTCAGCTTTTGCAGGCTTACCAGAATTTACAATGGTTTTTCTGGCCTATACATGTTCCTAACCAAACACAGTGATGATCAAACTGAAGAACACATCGATCACAATCATGACAATGTTTGGTTCGTGGAGGCTGCAAAGCATTACATGTTTCGAGAGAAAGATTTAGAGAGGGGAAAAAACAAGCTGAACGAACAACTACAGTGGCGATTTGAATCATACAAGATTTCAAATGTTACCTGCTCCACATGACAATAGCCGCATGTCAAATTTCTGCAAGTCATAAACGGAACAATTCAGAACACTCCTTTCTACTAACAATTACAAGTTGTAAGCTGATTCGTCAGGATTCACACAATAGAAAGCCTTGATTGAAGTTTATATGTACCTTATAGATGTCCCTGGAGGGTACAAGTCCAGAACCAACTTCCCCCAGGGCGTTGGAGCCCTTCTAGGACATGAGGCTGATCCTCCTTCCACATTAACAACAACGCTCTCACTTTTTCTGGAAGCATGTTGTCTTCGCTTAAATAATAACAAAAGTATAAACACAACAGTGAGACACAGTTATGTAGAATTCACTTCCATCAGTTTGATAAGAATCAAATAACCAAACTGTATATCTGATCACTGAATTACAATCGAGAACACCTAACTACCTTGGAAAAATGTTGTAAAGCTCTCCTAACCCTCCTATATCTAAATTCCAAAAGGCTCTCTCACTAACCAAACGATCAAAAGATTCTTACTTTCCTATCCCTCCCCTATCACACTTGTTCCATCACACTTGTTCCATCACACTTGATAGAGTTTTGCCACTAGAAGAAGGAAAGAACAATTCTTACATTGAGCAGGCAAGTGGGTTTCTATACATTGCACTAGTCTCGCAAACATCCCTCATTGCATCAACAACATACCTAAAAGACAACAAAAGAAGCAAAAAGAAGATCAAGTACCCATTTTTATTTAGCTGCAGAATCAAAACGAACACACAATTTAGGCAATAGATAGTTAGATATACCCAGGTGAAGAGCCAGAAGTTACAAAATACTGCAGAAGAGTGGCAGAAAACAGCAACAAATAACAGCCCATGTACCTGTTAGAGAAAGAATCACATTCAGCTTGTTCTAGAAGGACACAGTGATTGAATTAGTCAGAGTGAGAGAGATGAGTAATTACCATGGATCTCGTTTAGTCTTCTCAATAAAATCTGCATCGAAAAGGAAGAGAAAGCCGATAAAGACTAGGTGGAGAACCACTAGTGCTAATTTCAAAAGCAGAGAAGATCTTCGAACTGGTAGATGAAGAAAACAGCAATTAGTTAGTGAATCAGAAGAATCTAATGAAACACGGATCGTGAGATAGAATTAGGGTTAAAAGAGAGGAAATTTGGTACCAGGATCGGAGAGACAAGGAAGGTTGATGAGAAATTGATCACGAGCTCGATCCCAGGGTTGAAGGAAAGGGCAACAAACGCCCATGGTTTGACTTTCTTTCTCTCAAGCAAACATTGGGATTGGAGAAGAAGAAAGAGACTGTGAAGGAATCGCGAAAGAAGACAAAAAGAAGATCTTCAAAATTCAATCTTTGAAGATAGTTTATGGGAGATGCAAGAGAGAGAGAGAGAAAGACAGAGTAGGTTCGATTAATTAGTCATTATTGCATAATTAGTCATCTAATTACTGTATTAGTCGCAAACTCGCAACGAGGCAATGGAAGATGAAGAAGTCGGGAAGATAAGACTTTAGATGGGCCTTCTTTGGAAGCCCAATAATAATTGGGTTTTAACTGTACAATATTACCAAGTTGTGGGCTTTATTAATTGAAGGAAAGATAGGAGACGTAAAAAAAAAATGATGATACTCAAAATAGGACTTCCAACATGAACATTTATCATATCAGAAAAAGTCTCTACATATGTCAGAAATTTTCAAAGTTAAGGTAAAAACAAAAAGGACATTTAATTTCTTAACAGTGTTGTAAGTTTATTGTAGAGTACGTTTTTTATTTTTTTTGGTTTACCGGATTCGACAAGAGGCCGTAACTATATTGATGCACAATTGCTAATCCACGGATCAAAAGACGCAAACGTAAGAGTATGATGAACTGATTCTTCCGCTGCGCGATTACATTCATATTGTCTAAAATGATCAAAGAACTTCATCAAAGAGTGAATGTTTTTGTCGGTAGGATTGTAGTGGATGTCATTGGTATATTATAGAGTCCCACAATACCAATGACCTTATTTTATTTTTGAAAAATCGACGGGTGACATTTTCGAAAATATTGTGATTTACTTTTCGCATAAAACTTAAAAATAGTGTATGTGATTATAAGATATATCACAATTGCATGATAACATGCTATTTTTGAGCACTGAAATGCACCATTCACCGTTTATTATAACCTTTCGAAATCTCAATAAGCTTATTTCTTTTGTTTTTTGTTAGGCATAACTATAATTCTATAACTAAATGTAGAAAAGGACCAAAGACTCTCTTGTGTCTACTAATAAACAAAACAAAAATCAAGTGGAAAGAAAGGAGCATGCGAGCACGTTCGTTAGTTAGGAATGAGGAGAGCACATCATGTCCATATATCCCTTAAAGCCACCGTCTTCACTTTTTATTCACATTTTACGTTTCCTTAGACGTCCTCTTTTTAAACCAAACCCAAACAAGAGAAGATCCAATCCCCATAAACATGGCCAATTCCAAACGATTGTTTGGCGTTGTAAGGAGGAAACTTCTCCGACGATCTCAAAGCAGAATCACAATCATTCGCTCATCAGCTCCAGAAACAACTCAAGAAGAGATTGCCGCAGTTAAAATCCAATCTTTCTTCAGAGGTCACCTGGTAATTAATTACATTTTCTATCTCTGTAGATTTCAAGACCTGAAAAAAGCAAAATTAATTAGTAGAACCATTAATTAAACGTGTTGCAGGCAAGAAGGGCGTTTAAAGCATTGAAGAGTCTGGTGAAGTTACAGGCGGTGGCGAGAGGAGTGCTTGTGAGGAGACAAGCTCGAATTGCTTTACATTGTATGCATGCTCTTGCTCGCTTGCAGGTTAGGGTTCGTGCTCGTCAGCTTCTCTCTCATTAACACCTCTGCTTTTGAAAACAAACAAAAACTCTTGTGATTGTGACATTTACATTACTTCACCGGTTTTGTGATTTTGTTGTATATGTATGTACTAGACCTAACTCTCTAACACCCTGCATTTGTACTAATAAACAAGATCAGTTTAGCTGACACATTCTGTCTCAAACATAATTGGTAGACAACACAATATGCATTATAAAAGGATCCATAGATTATTTGAAGCAAAACCCTAGCTACAACAGATTTATATATATACTTGGGAAGGAAGCTGATGAAGGGGATACCTTGGAAAGGAAGAAAGGGAAAAAGGCTTCCATGGAGACACACAGTTTTGTCTGGATCACATGACTTGATTTTTTAAGAATCTGGAAGTTATAAGCAAGATCAAAAGAGTTGATTACATCGCCTATAGGTAAATAATACAAGAAAGAAGAAAGAAATTACAAGTACTTGTCTCCATTTCAACACACACATGCATAAAGGTCGATTTACAAGATCACAAAGTCCAAAATAGAGACGAGAGAGTACTGAGATATTGGCGCGGCTCAATCAGATAATCTAGAGAGAATGCATATGTACGACGTGAGTGTGGTCAGGGAAGATCTGAGTGAACCAGGCCAATATCAAAGGGACTCTCTCGTGCTTAAGTGATAGATCAAAGGAAAACAATATAAAAAACGAAAAGAAAAAGAGGAAAGAAGTGTTGTTGATGTGAAGTGTGAGGAGGAGAAGTGAGAATGTCTGTGGGGAGTTATAAAGGAGAGGAGGAATTAAATTAGGGTAAGAGAGAAGGAAATGGAAGGTATGGAGCATTTAAACCTCATCTACTACCAAAGCACAAAAGCTGGCTCACCCTCTTTAATCCTTTTCTCTTTTCTCTTCGCTCTCTCTCTTCAGATATATTAATTTCATATATCCATCGTTCAAAACTAAACTGGCTATGCAATGTGAACCTATACTTGTTTGTCTCCTCCTCTGTCTTTCCTTCTTGAGGAGGTTCATAAACCAAAATTCAAAAAAAAAAGAAAAAAGAAAAGGAAGATTTTGAGGAAGAATTAAAAGAACATCGATGAAGATGCTTTGTAATAAATTTTGAGGGAATCTCGCAGAAGAGAGGGGACACTGGCTGGCCTGTCTGCAACATTTAATAGTCTCTTACTGCTTTTTTATCTAGGCCCCTCTCTCTCTCTCTCTCTCTCTTTCTCTGCTTTTTACAAAACCTCAAGCAAGTTATGAACCCTAATATGACCTCTCACTCTCTCTCTCTATTGATGATTCTCAAGAGAAAGATTCGAGTTTTAATGTCACATTGTAACCACCAGATGACCAGAGCTTGTTTAAAACCAACACTTTTCTTTTGTCTGGTTAGGACTGGTGGGATGGCAAAAACTTTTGCAACCCTTATTTACTTCCCTCATGCTTACTTCATTAACCCCTCCGGTCCACCATTGCCATAAATTTTATGAAGAGCACACATTATCTCTCTCTCTCTCTCTCTACCCAGTTATATTTTCTTGACTTACAATATCAAATCATATCATTACTTATTCATTCTTTCTTTTCAAGATTACTGTTTTCGAATAGATTCACCTTATGATTCGTTACCATTGAGTAGCTTAATATCAATGTCACATTTAAAGAACAATATAAGGTACTAATATTAATATGTAAGAAAAGCCAATAGTGCCCATGTACAGTGAGTAGGTTTCTCCATTGACAAAACCAAAAGGAAAAGTAAAATGTCTGCAACGTAAGCTGATTTCAAATGTCTCACTAGTTTATTTTGAGCTCTTTAGATATAAGCTTCAAATTGGCATCAGAACAAGTTTAGCAGGATAAGCTTCTTCTGTTCAATTACACTGGATGACACAGGCACTCGAGAGATAAGCGAGTTTTTAGTACTTCTTTCTAGAGTAAACTGACAAAAACATGCAACATGTATTCTTATGCTAGTGAAACAATATAATGCATATAATGTCGTGAATGTGAAGTATTTTTCGACTGGAGCAGAAGTTCTAGGACCTGAAACGAGGACAAATGTATTGTGATGGATGCTCGCTCTCTTGTCATGTATATTGAACACTTGAGCTTTTAGTAGTAGCTGATTCTTGGCTTCATTCACAGATTTAGAATATAAATTACTATCAAGCACCTCTGGTAATATGAATTCAATACAAATACATGACAGAAGAAGAAGAAGGCCTACATTCATATCCATTCATCATCAACAACAAATTACATCGTTACACAAAGTTTGCTGAATAAATAAAAATTAATAATTACTGGAATGAGTTCCAAACGTCAGTGGTGTGTGGCTTTCACGTTAAAATTATACATTCTTATACCAACACGAGTGACCTTTTTTTTATATAACTACAAAAGATGGGAGCCTAAAAGTGGAGTATCTTAGATTTTCTTGGGGAATGTCATACCACCGCCTCGGATAGAGAGAGAGGGTCCTTTCACAGAGCTCACCTGATTGGTATCAAGGAAGATGACTACCACAGTTATGTCATCGTGGAAATGCCTTCTCACTCCTCTCTCTATCTTCTTCAGATCAGAGTATCTCATCTCTCGTTTCTTTGCCGCCTCTTGCAATGCCATCTTCACCAGTCTCCGTGCAATCCCCTGCAAATCGCCACAGCAAAGGACAAGAGTCAACATTTGGTTTTGTAATAGGTCTTTACTGAAAGTGAAAGAAAAATAAAGAGGAAGAAATGGGTCTCACGCACATTTCGTGGGTGGTTCTGAACGATGTCAACAGCTTCTTGGTTGCTCAGCTGTTCCCATAGTCCATCAGAAGCGAATATTAGAAACTGGTCTTGTGGTTGGATCTCATGCTCCGTTATCGTTGGTTCCCCACTCAAGATCGGTCTTTTGAACGGTTCACGGATTCTGTACTTTGTGTACAATGGTTCCTTGTTGAACTCCGCCTTTTTAAGATACACGTCGCCTATGGATCTAGATACCTGCAAAGGAACAAACATATCTTATCCTTTTCAACTTCAATCTCCAGGGTTTAAATTGACATGGTAAATGAACAAACATATCTAGGCGTTTGCACCTAGTGTCTAGTGTCTACATGCAGTGATAGGGACAAAATACAGATTCAACTGTTATGTCGATTCTAATATATATATATATATATATCTCAATGTACTGACATATAGAAACTGGCTTTTAGATACCACCAATTTCAACATCAACCAGAGCTCTGACATTCTCAGGTTGGTGGGTTTTGTATTGGCAATGTCAAAGTCAAGGTTACGACAAATCTAGCCTTTTGAGTATAAAGTCTAATTTAATGCAGAGACCTTATCGCCCGCCATACAGGAAAAAAAAATCGTCTTGGTTGATCTTGACATCATAAAAGTAAGAAAAAACACGTCTTTTTTCGATTACAATTTTAGCGTCATCGTTTCAAGAAACCAGCAAGAAGTTCAAGGCCATATAATTCAGATTTCTCCGGTTTGCCTTATCAAGACAAAGACAACTACATATCAATTGAACGAGTGATTCACTAAGATACTCATGTACCTGAATAAAAACCATGTCCTTTGACCCTAAAATCTAATTAAATATCATTCAGATTGAGAAATTTACCTGAATAAGTCCCTTAACACGCCACACATTGTGCTTTAACATGACAATATGCGAGTCATCCGGATGCAAGGAGTGCATCTCCTGTCTAACAGACTCTATGCTCACATTATGTTCCGCGGAGAGCTGAAGCGCAATAACCTCACCTGTCGCCTTCATAGCCCTTCCAAGAACTGCACGGGAATCCCCAACATTAGCTATGTAAAGCATCCCTCCGCATATAACACCCACCAAGCAGCAAGACCCAACCGCTGCAATCAGTGGCTTAGTTGGCCACTGCTTTGTCACAACACCTAAAAACCCTTCTTCTGTCGCCTCATACGCTTTTTTAATTACATCCACCGACATAGAGGCCTCCTCTGCAGCGAATCCTGCAGATTCAAAGAAAATTTTAGTTTCCAAGCAGTTGATTTGTGACCTTGTATGCATATATCATTCAGTATCCTCACTCTTTAGATGCTGAAAAAGGTGATCATTAACAAATCGTGAGGTTTCAGGCCCGCCATGGCCGTCATATACACCAACAAAGGTTCCATAAGGACCAGAGTCAAGAGTACTCAAAGGACCAGACTCAACCTGACTCTGATCCTCAAGCAAGTTATTGGCTTGAACAACAGCCATGGAGAATTCACCAACGAGGTGCTGACCAGAGTCTTTGTACCAAAGCAATCCATCTTGTTTTCCTGTTGAATCAGAGGACTTGCCCGAGGAAGAAGACGGCCACAGACAAGCACTCAAGAGTTTCATTAACGTTGATAACATCCCTCATTTCATCAAGACAACCCTTTTTTTCCTCCACATCCGTCAAAGGGATGCACAGAAACAAACAAAGTAGCAACAAAGATTTAAGCTTTTAAGAATCTGCAATTCAAAAAAGAGTTAAAGTAAGGATCTAAACAACAACAACCGTTTAAATAAGCTTGATAGAATCTGAAAACTCTCAACTTGGCTAAGTAAAAATGAAAATCAAAAACACAACTTTTAACTAAAAAATCTACAAACCCAATTGGTTAACGGATCAGATGAGCAAGAGGGAATAATTAATTCAACAAGGATCAGAACAAAATCCAAACTTTTTCAAACTCAGAGAAAATTAGTACCTAAGAGATTCAACAGAAGCTGATGTAAACAAGAAGAAGTCACTCGCAGACTTTTCACAAGTCAACAGATACACAACAAATCAATTACAATCAGAAGCAATCTCAACCCAAAACAAAGGATTTGAGGGTTTAGTGATAAGAGAAGAAAAGGTCGACAAATACAGGTAGAAGGAAAAAAGACGAAGATCTGAAAAATTGATGTAGAGAACGAGAGAGTGATGGATCCGAATCAGATCCAGAAGGAAGAAGGAAGAAGTAGCGTCGACCTTCTCTTCGGAGAAGAAGGCAAAGAGGAAAAGAGAGAAGAGAGAAAGGAAAGGGCTCCACTGCTTCTAACCAGACAATCCAATCTCTCAATTACTTACTGGATCAGATTTTCTAAACCTAACCCTTCTTTTTTCCTCTAATTGACTTTTCTTTCCTCTTTTTATTTACCTAAACAGTCCTCTATCTTTCTAATAACTTACGGTTTGTACCAATAACTAATATTCCTATCAATCAAACCCCCAACACCAAATACGACGACTCCTTATAACTTGGAGAAGTAACAAAAAAAAAAAAAAAAGTGTTGCAGATAGATAGATGGATGAAAAGGAAAGAAAGACAAGTGTTTGTATTGGTAGAGATAGAAGAAGATTGATAGTTATAAGAAGAAGAAAAAAATGAAGATTAGATAAATGTGTGAGTGATAAGAAAGAGGGACACGTGATGAAATGAGATTGAGAAAAACGTTAGCTGGCGAAAGAAGACAGACTCATACGTGTGCAAACTCCACCTGCACCTGACCTGCACTTCTTTTCCCGTTTCCTCTTCACTTCTCTCCCATGTGCTTCCCTTTTCCTCTCTCTTTTTTTTTTTTTTTCTTCTTCCCTCAAAATGATTAGAGATTTTGCTCTTAACATATATTGGGCCTTTAGAAGTTTAGATAAGTATGGTCGGCCTTATAACCAATAGGGCTTATAGTATACAAAACTTTGGTGATATTTTCATATTTTGATGTTTATGTAATTATAACGAGATCGAGACATGGTTGTGTACATGCAATTTTTTTAATAGAAAAAAAGTATATATCATGAATAATTGAATAGTGTTAAAATGTAATTTAGACAAATATGAAAAAACGAAAGTGTTATAACTTTTATTTCTATGCACATAATTTCCATTGTTTTTTATTAATATATTTTAGTAAGAAAAATGGGCAAAAACGATGGGGAGTAGTCAAGAGGACCAACCCTACTTTCACTCTTCACCAAGAAATAAAGAAATCGCAGAAAGACCTCACATGTAAATTGATCACGTTTTTTTAGACAATGTTTTGTCTGAGAATAACCAAACTTGGCTTCACTCATCACTACAAAATCCTTCATTTTCTTCTTAGAAGAACTATACATTTTTATATATAAATTCACACTAATTAGTTACTTTTCAGACTCCAGTTAACAAAGGATCGATTTCAATAACTAGCTTCTCTGGATCGGATTAAAAATATATATAGAAAAGATGCAACATCATTCAGAAGTGAAGCAGCCTCTTTGCCCTAAGCCACGCCGTGTATGTCCTTCTCTTCCTGACTTCCTCAAACCTCTCTCATGTTCCCTACACTCCTCCACCTGGTAATATATGGTCTAGATTGTTTGTTTGTTTCTGTTTTTACATTTGGTGTAATTTGTGTTTGTCCTTTGCATGAAAAATCAAGAAATGTTTTAATTAAATTGCTAAAAAAAGCCTATATATATATATCCTTCTTGAAATTAATGATGATGATTCACTCATACATGTTTGTGCCTTAATCAGCCAACAAAGTACGGAGGGAAGAAGCGACGTTCTTAGCATTATCGATAAGGTCGTCGTCATTCTTACTTCTTTCATCATTTCTAAAACCTAAACTTGTTTTCTTATTAATTTATGTGAATAATATCAAAACAAACACTTAAAACGGATGGAATCTTTCCAAACTTGCATGCATGGATTTTATGTGTTATTTAAATATAAATATTCATCGTGGTATAGGTGCAGCCGATAGAAGGTGGAACAATAGAGTCAATGTGGTACGTAGGGTCTCCACCTAGGAGAACCGGAAATCCTCTTGTACACGACCTTCATTTCATTCACTGTCTCGATCTTCTCCCCAACTTCTCAAGATCCAAGGCTTGATCTTCCCATCTTCTTAAACTACGTCCCTCTTCTATACATATATGAATGCATAGCCATTAGCCACACACATACACACAAAAGAAACTCCTCCTTGCATACACTACACTGCCATATGGATCGATCTTCGAGTAAAGATAGATGTGATGTCAAAATCCTAAAACAAAAACTTCATAATTAAAGTAAACGCTTTCTGCACAGATCGATGTATTAAAGTTTGGAGTATATTCTTTATAGAAATGTATATGGATTTTCTCGATCAAGAAGAGTCTCCACTAAGATCAGCAGGATTATACTACAGTACACAATGAATGCAGAGACTTATTTGACAGAAAGGCTATTGAGATACCTGAATATGATTTGGATGCTATTTATAATATAGAAATTGGTTTTCTAACATGTTCTCTCTTTTTAGTTTGTTACGCCTCATTTTGTCTTCATTTAAGACATGTACTTTATATATATATATATCATATATGACTTGTACTTGTTCCTGTGTGTAAAGTTACAGATGTTTCACTTTCTTTCAATTTTAAATAATATAGTTGAAAATTAAAACTTATTTTCCGGAAAAAAAAAGAAATCAGTGAAATTAAAGGAAATGTATATAACGATATGTAGATGATGCTAGTCAAGTGATTATTTTCAGTTGTTGGAATTCATTAGAGATCACAACAGTTTATGATTTCGGTCTAAGTCTCTAATTTATAAACAGTTTTCTTCCCAACCAAAATTTATAAGAGAGCTTTCATGTATCATCAGATAGAAAATGGCCAAAAAAGGAAAGCCAATAAGAATAATTTGAGCCCGGTCCCATATTCGCACCTGAGTGTACATCTACTTAACATTTTTGAAGTACAAATTTGCTCTTTCCATTCGGGTCGGATTTTTTTTGTGATTTTGACCCGGAAATCTTCAATCGGATCTTTCCTTATTTTTGGCAAAATTCAAAAACGAAATTAATTAATAAATTATAAAAATATACATTTTCTCAACTAATGACTACACCTAAACTCTTTATTTCTGGCATATTCTTTCTTATTTTTATATATAAGGAAACCAAATATGATGATTTAATGCTAATATAACAAATTTGAACTAATTTCTTAAAACTTCTCTACCTAATTTAAACAAAAATATATGATTCTCATTTCACTTTTATTTGATTTATATTTATATTATTTTGAATTATTATAAAATATATATAGTTAATAAAATTTTATATTTTTTTCTACATATGCTATGTTTCAAATTTTTTAAAACGGAAATATATTACTCAATCAATAAAGAAAAAAATATATGTACAATCTAAAGTACATATTTGCTCTTTTTCTGGGTCAGTTTTGTTTTTTTTTTTTTTAATTTTGACCCGGATTTTAAACATAAATATATGATTCTCATTTCACTTTTATTTGATGTTATATTTAAATTATTTTGAATTATTATAATATATACATATAGTAAATTTTAGTTTTTTCTGCATATATTATGATTCAAATTATTTTTAAACGGACATATATTACTCAGTTGATGAAGAAAAAAAGTATGTTTGCAATTTATATTAACATTTTTGAAAAACAAATTGCGCAATTAATCAGGTCGTTTTTTTTTTTTATTCTGACCCGAAATTGAGTCATTCGGATCTTTTCTTAATTTCTAAAATTATCTAAAACGGGAGAGTATACCACGGGTGAAATCCTAAAATTAACAAATCAAAATACAATTGTAAATTATTTTTACGGGTTGGTCCTAAAACACATAATTAAAAAATATATATATATTTATATATATATATATATATATATATATATATATATATATTATGAAAACTATTTGAAAGCAAACTTTTAAATTGATTCGAATTATATGTCTTTTAAATAAAAGTGTTATTAAAAAAATAACACAATGATGTTTAATTTCACAGAACGGAATTATATGGTGGGATGGGTTTGGGTCGATATTAATATGGGAAAATATACCACGGGTGAAATCCTAGAATTAACAAATCAAAATACAATTATACAATCTTAAACACTAAACAAAATAAATACAACTTAAATTTTTTATTTTTTAGATACAACGCATATGATCCGCGATACAACAGGAAATATTATACACAACAAATTCATTAGTTTATAAAAAGAATAAAAAAAAAAATCAAATAATTAACCCGCGGTGTACCGCGGGTCATATCCTAGTGAACTTATCCAGAGTCAACGCCTTCTATTTCAAATACTATTATCAATATTTGCATTTTCATCCTCTTATATATATTTTATGATAAAATTACCCCTATGTTTCCACCATATAGATATAGATTTAAACATTGTTTTAACCATTGCCTAATAATGTATACCGGGCCGGGTGCACTAATCTCATGGAAGGAACAAACATCCCTCCACGTCTATAATCAGTCTAGGAAGCACGGAAGCTTTGTCGGAGGTCCGCTTCCCGTTTCGGAATCTTAATCGGAATCGGAAGCTCTCGGAAGCTTTTGGAATCTCGCTTCCATAGCGATTCCAAAAAATTCATTTTGGAAGCTCGTTGGAATCTTACGATTCTATTTTGGAAGCTTACGCTTCCAATTAAAAAATTTGATGTCACAAAATAAAGAAGAAATATGAAATTATTTTTGATAGCTTTTTAATACAACAAAAGAAAAACCAAAACTAATTTTGTATTTTATTTTTTTAAATATCATAGTTAGAAAAATGACATTAGCATGGATCAATTATTTGGGAGATGTTGAAATGATTAATTGAATTAAATTAATTTTGAAAAACTTGAGTTTAATGATGTTTTTATTGGTAAAACAAAATTTAAAACAATTTTATTTGATGAAATTAGTAAAATGAGAATAAAGATAATGATCTTTAATTTTTGAATTTGAACTATTTGACTTTTATCTATTGTAAATGTACACTATTTGATTTTTAAATATAGAGAGATATTTAGAATTTATGTATTAGATTTGTATGTTAATTAGTATAATTTTTTTATGATATAATGTTTAATATTTATTATATATATATATTAATTTTTATATACGCTTCCAATACATATCCACTTTCTGTAATTTTTATAAAAATCGCTTCCACGTTTCCAAACGCTTCGTTTCCGCGTGCCCGCTTCTGATTCCATGCAACCTAGATAATCACAATCCCACCTATATAAACAGCCACACAAACACAACGATCCAATGTAGATCATGTACTTGTGGGGTTTTGTTTATAAAGATAAAAATTAAGAATTTTTTTTTTGAATGATAAAATTAAGAAATATATTATTATACGTTTTATGGCAAATTCGAATAATTAAATTATATGAGAGTTGATGTTCAAAGATTGAATTAAATACGATAATTTCGTTGGCAACATATTCCTTCAATAACCATCTTAAAAAATCCGTTGACAAAGACCAAGCACCAGACAAAACGTTGACCTTTTCCCTCATTCCCACAAAAAAAAAAAAGACAAGTTTCGTGTAGTAAAAGGAAACTCAACTAGCAAGAATAAGGACATCTCTTCCTTCTTCTTTTTTCTTTAACTTCAGATTCATAGAGAGAGAGAGAGAGAGGAAGATCAAAGAATGATTAGGAGTAATGGGAATTTGAGATGGATGTTTCAGTTTGGATTCCTCTGTATTATGAGTTTGGGATTGGCTTCTTCTGTTTCAGGATCACTCTCCTTTGAAATCCACCATAGATTCTCAGAGCAAGTCAAAACGGTTCTAGGTGGCCATGGCTTGCCTGAAATGGGCAGCCTCGACTACTACAAGGCGTTGGTTCACCGTGATCGAGGTCGGCGGCTAACATCCAACAACAATCAGACAACTATTTCTTTCGCTCAAGGCAACTCCACCGAAGAAATCAGTTTGTATGATCAAAATTTGGCACCTCCTCTGTTTTTTAATTAGTACGTACTACTACATATATATAGACCTTTGATCATGTTTTTTTTTCTTAAAATTCTTAATGATCAGTCTGCATTATGCGAATGTGACGATAGGGACACCGGCTCAATGGTTTTTGGTGGCATTAGACACAGGAAGTGATTTGTTTTGGTTACCTTGCAATTGCAATTCCACTTGCGTACGGAGTATGGAGACTGACCAAGGCGAGGTAATTAAATACTATCTTGGAATGTTATTCATTATGACATTAAAACTCGATCATCTTTTAAGACACACATGAATGCACAGAGGATAAGGCTCAACATCTACAACCCAAGCATATCAACATCAAGCTCAAAGGTTACGTGCAATAGCACACTCTGTGCATTAAGAAACAGATGCATTTCTCCGCTCAGCGATTGTCCTTACAGAATCCGATATCTCTCGCCGGGAAGCAAAAGCACAGGTGTGTTGGTGGAGGATGTGATCCACATGAGCACAGAAGAAGGAGAAGCTAGAGATGCTCGGATCACATTCGGGTTTGTAATTCTTTAAACTTTGAAAACGTATTACGAATGATGGCAATGCGTGTATTACTAACTATCGAACTTCATTCGGTGTCTAACCTAAAACCAATTGGCAATGAATGCACTAAATAATGTGTCTTCCATATAGTATTTTATTTCTCTTCTTACTTCATATATGAAATATTCTAACAGTAATTAACATACAAAGTACGTACTTAAATGGTGGCAGATGTAGTGAGACCCAACTAGGGTTGTTCCAAGAAGTGGCTGTAAATGGTATAATGGGACTTGCAATGGCCGACATAGCGGTTCCAAACATGTTGGTTAAAGCCGGTGTGGCGTCAGACTCTTTCTCAATGTGTTTTGGTCCTAATGGGAAAGGAACAATCAGTTTCGGAGACAAAGGTAGCTCAGACCAGCATGAGACTCCATTGGGTGGCACCATCTCTCCGTAAACCCTCCTTACACCTTTGCCTTTTATTTGTCCCAATAAGTAAAAAGATTCATATGTAACGTACATAATCTAAACACAGGCTGTTTTACGATGTGAGCATCACCAAATTCAAGGTAGGAAAAGTGACGGTGGAAACAAAATTCAGCGCGATATTTGACTCTGGAACCGCGGTTACTTGGCTGCTCGATCCGTACTACACTGCTCTAACAACAAACGTACCTACCTAACTATATTGGCTTATCTTTAGTACATTCCAATCCCTACAACCTTGAGGCATGTAACATTACAAACCGACCTGTCTTGTGTTGTGATTTGCAGTTTCATCTCTCTGTACCAGACAGACGACTTCCAGCAAATGTGGATAGCACCTTTGAGTTTTGCTACATTATTACATCAACGTGCGTAGGCTATCTATATAATACATATGATTTAAGAAAAAAAATAGATTAATGTTTGTATAAAACAATATTGATGCATATGTGTTGCTGTTTGCAGCTCAGATGAAGAGAAGCTTCCTTCAATTAGCTTTGAAATGAAAGGAGGAGCTGCTTATGATGTTTTCAGCCCCATACTTGTCTTCGACACCTCCGATGTACACATCTCATCTCATATCATCAATTCATCATATTAATTATATAAACTGTAGGAGAAATTAATGAGAAGAGATTTGAATAGTATATAAGAGACACAAACCAATTCATTCATAACCAATTGATTTTGAGCTGGAAGTTCATGAAACTTAACATAAACATATGAATCTGCATTGCATTTACAGGGTAGTTTTCAAGTCTACTGCTTGGCCGTTTTGAAGCAAGATAAAGCTGATTTCAACATCATCGGACGTTCGTTTCTTTTACTTTTTTCCCAATCAACAACATGTTATGACACATTTTAACCAATTCCTAATCTGATCAAATTTTCTCTATGTTAGAAAACTTCATGACCAACTACAGAATCGTCCATGATCGCGAGAGAATGATCTTGGGATGGAAAAAATCCAATTGTATGTCCTAACTTTATTAAACTCTTCTCCAAATAGAAAAGTACTCATGTTAATAACTAATTGTTTGTGGACATTTTCAGGTAATGATACTAACGGTTTCACGGGACCTACCGATTCACCGCCATCGCTGCCGCAATTGCCGTCTCCAAGAACCATTAACCCTTCCAGCCGTTTGAACCCTCTGGCTGCTTCTTCACTTTTCATCATTTGCTTCATTTCTTTTATATGTTTGTGATAGTGACTAATTGACATCTACTGTGCAAAGAGCTAATCTTATTTTCGTTTTCTACCCTCTAAGTTTACACATATTATTCAATCCACCCCAGCATTCTTCAGTTCTCATCTTCTGGCCTCATGTTCGTCTCTTTCATCCAAGTGGACATTTATAAATCCTAGTATCTTAATTATTATGGGAGCATGAGAGCATGCATTCGTCTCCCAAATTTTAAAATATCCAAAAGTCCAATATGGTAATTTTTGAAATCTTAAAAAGAGGAAAAAAAAAAATGATTAAAGAAAAGCCAAGACTTTCAACGAAACAATAGAAAATGAACATAATTCAAGTTGTATGTTTGTGATTCATATAATTTTTAGTGACCTCCTCGTCTTTTTTAAAAAAGTTTCTATTTTTTTCTCAATTTGTTGTATATAAGTCGAATTTTAGTATAATGATAATAAACATCGTAATAATCCAGCAACCTTTTTATTAAAATTAGTTAATTAGGCAACAATGTCGTTATCTGAGAAAGTAAACGACAACTAGGAAATTATTTCGCCAGAAAAAAAAGATATTGTTCGTTGTATAAAATATAATATAATATAAGGAGTTAAGTGCAAAACAGGAAGTGTAAATGGAGTTTTCCGCAAAAATAAAAGAGTTGACGAAGAGACGATATATATATATAAGGAATGGCTAATTTCAAAAAGTCGTCTACCTCCTGATAAGAGAACTCTGCCTTCGTCAACCTTTCTCCTTCAGGGAAAGAAGACGAAGATACAAAATAATGGCTACCACTCCGATTAAACTAGTATATTACCTCGAAGAATCAAATCAGCTTCTCTCAGCATGTTTGGTACAATGTGAACGAGTCAAACTTTTGACCTTTTCAATTTTCTTACATATACGGGGTTCGTCGTGATTATGTCGTTATCTGAGAAAGTAAACGGAGCTTTACTCCGGAGGTGTTTTTTTTTTTCTCGGGAAGAACCCTTGAGGGTAAAGTCATGGACGTTGCACGCCAAGTGTTTGTGTTATTGTCTGTGTTAGTTGTGAGTTGGGTATTTGAGAGATGTGAGGCTTCTGGGAAGTTCGGCTTCGAAGTCCACCACATTTTCTCTGATGCCGTCAAGCAAAGTCTTGGTCTTGACGATCTAGTGCCGGAACAGGGAAGTTTAGAGTACTTCAAGGTTTTGGCTCACCGTGATCGCTTGATCAGGGGTCGTGGTCTTGCCTCTAACAACGAAGATACCCCGGTCACTTTCGATGGGGGAAACCTCACGGTTTCAATCAAGCTTCTGGGATCGTAAGGCTTCTTCTCGTCTTGATTCACAACAATTCGTTTTCTTGTTTAATGCAAATTGCTGATAGTTAAAGCGATATGTATGAATAAGATGCTCAAATCCATTCGTTTTTGAAATATGATTTGTGTATCCACAGCCTGTATTACGCCAATGTATCTGTCGGAACACCACCTTCTTCGTTCCTGGTGGCTCTGGACACAGGCAGCGATTTGTTTTGGTTGCCTTGCAATTGCGGTACTACTTGTATCCGCGACTTGGAGGACATTGGAGTTCCACAGGTTCCTTTCCCCCTTTGAAAGCAGATAAACGGTTTCTTCAAACTATTTCTGTTTAACTTTTGTCGTTTGCTCTTCTTTGAGACAGAGTGTACCACTCAATCTATACACTCCCAACGCATCTACTACGAGTTCAAGCATTCGATGCAGCGACAAGCGTTGTTTTGGATCTAAAAAGTGTTCTTCTCCTAAAAGTATTTGCCCTTATCAGATTTCCTACTCTAACAGCACAGGCACCACAGGGACATTGTTACAGGATGTATTACATCTGGCTACAGAGGATGAGAATTTAACGCCTGTCAAAACTAATGTCACGCTTGGGTAAGTAGTGCTTCTTCTCCTCTGTCTTTTCTTAACAAAAAAACCCTCATGGACGCTACTGCGCCTCTAAAAAATTGTCCATGTCCTGTTAACACTATGGTGTGGGTAGCAAAACCTATAAACGGTAAGATTAAATATAGTGTGAATTTTCGGACGTGTAAAATGTCTATGTCTTGTGCCTCTCTTAGCACTCATGTATGACTTCATCAACTGTCCCCTGTTTGAGAAATGACCTCTGAGGCCAAATAACTGAATCCGTGTTTGTGGTGCAGTTGCGGTCAGAAGCAGACAGGTCTATTTCAGAGAAACAATTCTGTGAATGGTGTTCTTGGGCTTGGTATTAAAGGTTACTCTGTTCCGAGCCTTCTGGCAAAAGCCAATATCACCGCAGACTCCTTCTCAATGTGTTTCGGGCGTGTCATTGGCAATGTCGGAAGAATCAGTTTTGGAGACAAAGGCTACACAGACCAGGAGGAAACTCCATTCATTTCTGTTGCACCAAGGTACAAAGTCAAAATAGTACCTAAAGTTTTCTAACTTGATGTAGTATCTACACCAATTCCGTTTGTATCTCCCATTGTTTTCTTTTTGACAATTTTGATCCAAAATGAAAAACCTAGTACGGCATATGGTTTGAACGTGACGGGAGTATCAGTGGGGGGAGATCCTGTTGGCACTCGCCTGTTTGCAAAATTCGACACTGGCTCATCATTTACGCACTTGATGGAGCCAGCATATGGTGTTCTTACCAAATCTGTATGTCTAAACTTTCCCTTCTTCCGAGAAAATGTTGTGCTGTTAAATCATTAGATACATCTGTAACTGTTGCAGTGGATATTAAAATGAAGATTTCTTAGAAGAAAAGCCGTTCCTCTAAGCTTGTGTTTGTTACATCACCATGACGTTCATTCTTTTACTTTTGCAGTTTGATGATCTTGTCGAGGACAAGCGACGCCCAGTTGATCCAGAGCTTCCGTTTGAGTTCTGTTACGACTTGAGGTCATGCCCGCACTCTTATCAGTGTAGTTATTAAATGATTTTGCCCAAGTTAGTAGAATGTGTTGGAAATTTAACGCACGCTAGAACATCTAAAAAGTAAGAAAGGTAGGAGGAAACATTGACTTTGTACAAGAATATGAAGTATTAGGGTTAAACCATCTGTAAGTAACTTGTAAGATGGACTGATCTGTACCATATTTGAATTCTGAAGCTCTTCATCTTCACATGCAGCCCAAACGCCACAAGCATAGAATTCCCCTTTGTAGAGATGACTTTTGTAGGAGGATCCAAAATCATTCTCAATAATCCGTTTTTCACAGCACGGACTCAGGCAAGACATGGTGTTTAAATGTTCTTTCTTTAATTCATTTACTAGCGTATGTATTTACATTTTGGTTTTTGGTTATGGACAATGAGTAACAGGAGGGTAATGTGATGTACTGCTTGGGCGTTCTGAAGAGCGTAGGTCTCAAGATTAACGTCATCGGACGTAAGTATCTCAACACTGATATACACAAATTCTGTATATATATATGCATATAATAATGGGAATATTTGTGGAGCGCAGAGAACTTTGTGGCCGGCTACCGCATTGTATTCGATCGGGAGAGGATGATTTTGGGTTGGAAGCCGTCTCTTTGTGAGTGACCAAACCAGGAAGTGACTATATATATATATATCCTTGGAATAAATTAGCAGTGGTAATGAAGTGTTTTGTGTTAATGGCAGGTTTTGAAGATGAAAGCTTGGAATCTACGACTCCACCACCAGAGATCGAAGCTCCTGCACCAAGTGTAACCGCTCCACCACCTCGTTCTCTTCCTCCTGCTGTTTCTTCTACGCCGCCCCCTATCGACCCTCGTAACTCCACAGGAAACCGTGGTACAGGCGGTGCAGCCAATCTCATCCCTCTCGCATCTCAACTCCTACTTCTCCTACCTCTTTTGGCCTTCCTCTGAATCACAAAAGCCATTTGTTTTGTGTTGGTTTGACCATTTTATGTTCCTTCAAGTAATAATCTTCGTTTGATGTGCAAAACAATATTCAGTGGTTTGTAATCTTATTATTTCCCTGTTCCAATGTACGCTTTTGTTAGTGTTTTGGATATTTCAAATATGTTTTTGTCGCGTTAGAAACATACGAATACATTGTTCGTTAAGCCAAAAATAAAAGACTAAAGGGGGATTTTCTACAAAAAGAAAGAGTTGACTTATAACGGCTAATTGCAGAAGTCGTCTCCCTCCCGGAGAAGAGACTCTGCCTTTGTCAACCTTCAGTTTCAGGGGAAGAAGACGAAGATACAAGATAATGGCTACTACTCCGATTAAACAAGTATAAGCTCGAAGAATCAAATAATCTTCTCTCAGCATGTCTGGAACAATGCGAACAATTCAAGCTTTTGAACTTTTCATTTCCTCAATTTCCTTACAAATACGGGATTCGTTGTGGAGTATGTCGTTATCTGAGAAAGTAAACAGAGTTTTTACTCCACAAGTGTTTTTGATTTCTCGGGAAAAACCCTTGAGAGTAAAGTCATGGCCTTTGCACGCCAAGTGTTTGTGTTATTGTCTGTGTTAGTGGCGTGTTGGGGACTGCAGAGATGTGAGAGTGCTGGGAAGTTCAGCTTCGAAGTTCACCACATGTTCTCTGATACGGTCAAGCAGAATCTTGGGTTTGGCGATCTAGTTCCGGAAAAGGGAAGTTTGGAGTACTTCAAGCTTTTGGCCCAGCGCGATCGGTTGATCAGAGGTCGAGGTCTTTCCTCCAACAACGAAGAAGCCCCTGTTACTTTCATCCTGGGAAATCGCACGGTTTCAATCGACTTTTTGGGATCGTAATGCCTCTTCTCCTCTTGATTAACAAGAATTTCTTTTTCTTCTTTAATGCATTCATATTTTGAATATGATTGATGCTGATGCTTGACTCCATGGCTTATTGAATATGTATGTGGCTTCAGCCTGCATTACGCCAATGTCTCTGTGTGAACACCGGCCACTTGGTTCTTGGTGGCTCTGGACACCGGCAGCGATTTGTTTTGGTTGCCTTGCAATTGTGGGACTACTTGTATCCGTGACTTGGAGGACATTGGACTTTCACAGGTACCTTTATCCTCTCGAAAGCAGATACTTTTTTTCTGATATGTATATATCCTTTTCTTCAACCTATTTATTCCTTGACTCTTTCTCTTCTTTGACACAGAGTCTACCACTCAATCTATACAGTCCCAATGCATCTTCTACAAGTTCAAGCATTACATGCAGTGACAAGCGTTGTTTTGGATAGGGAGGGTGTTCTTCTCCTGCAAGTGTTTGCCCTTATCAGATCCCGTACCTTTTTAACACCACATCCACCAGAGGGACATTGTTTGAGGATGTATTGCATTTGGTCACAGAGGACGAGGGTTTAGAGCCTGTCAAAGCTAATATCACGCTTGGGTAATTAATCGCTTTGTTTTCCTTAATACGTCCTTTCTTAAGACAAACCGTCATGCCGCTATTTTAACCTCTAAATATATGTTCATTTCGTGTTATAAGCCGTGAAATCATCTGTGAAGCAATCTAGATACTGGTATGCATAGCAAAACCAATTAACGATGAGATTGAACTTAGTTTGAAAGCTGGACACTGAAAAAACTAAAAAAAAATGGTTTTTTTTGCCTCTCTTGGAACTCATGTGTTTGTGATGCAGTTGTGGTCAGAATCAGACGGGTTTGTATCGGAAAAGTTTGGCTGTGAACGGTCTTCTTGGGCTTGGTATGAAAGATTATTCAGTTCCGAGTGTGCTGGCAAAAGAAAATATCACTGCAAACTCTTTCTCAATGTGTTTCGGGAATATTATTGACTTTATCGGAAGAATCAGCTTCGGTGACAGAGGCCACACAGACCAGCTACAGACACCACTAGTTCCTATTGAACCAAAGTACGTTGTCAATTCCATTTTACTTTGACAGGGCTTAAATGTGTATCAACTTGATTATTATCTATATCGATTTTGTTTCTGTCTTCTGTGATTTTCTTTATCCTAAATGAAAACTAGTCCGACATATGCTGTGAATGTGACCGAAGTAACAGTGGGGGGAGATATTCTCGAGATTCAGATGCTAGCTCTCTTCGACACTGGCACATCATTTACACACTTACTGGAGCCAGCATATGGTCTTCTTACCAAAGCTGTAAGTGCCTTAGATCATATTAATCATCTATTCTAATGCTGTCTGGCCAAATTTATTGTACTAATATCATATTTTTTTGTCGAAAGTACTAATATCATATCTGAGTGAAGGTTTCATCCTTCAAGAAAATTTGTGCTGTTAAATCATTAGATATGTTGTATCTGTAATCTTTTCTCTGGACGTCATTCCTCCAAGCTTGTGTTTGTTACATCACATGACCTTCATTCTTTTACTGTTGCAGTTTGACGATCATGTTACTGATAAGCGACGCCCGATCGATCCTGAGATTCCATTTGAGTTCTGTTACGACACAAGGTCATTGTCATGCATGCACTCTTTACATGCTTTTGTCCATTTTAGTAAAATGTGTTGGACTTTTAACGAATGCCAGAACGCCTATAAAATAAGAAAGACGAGAACATTGAATGTTAGAGAAGAACAGTAGACAGTGTATGGAATAGTTAAACTAGCTAAGTAATCTCTAAAATAGCATGTCTCTGTTTCACATATGTGGATTCTGATGTTATTCCTCTTTGCATGCAGTCCAAATATTAAAAGCTTTAAATTCCCCAGAGTAAATATGACTTTTGTAGGAGGATCCAAACTGACTCTGAGAGATCCGCTGTTCACAGTGTGGAATGAGGCAAGACATGGGTGTTTTTCTTTCCTTCAGTTTCACAAAGTTTCATGGATTAGCGTATTCATGTACATTTGCTTTTTTCTTTTCCTTTTTGCATTCAACCTAATAAACAGGACAATTCCGCCATGTACTGCTTGGCTATTCTGAAGAGCGTGGATGTCAAGCTTAACATTTTCGGACGTAAGTATCTCAATACTGAGTTTTACGCGGCAACAGATTCCATGCTTATAATTGAAGCAGAGAGAAAAAAAAAAAAAAGAGTATGTATTGAATGCATTTCACATTTGGGTGGTTTCAGAGAACTTGATGTCAGGCTACCGCATTGTATTTGACCGGGAGAGAATGATTTTGGGTTGGAAGCGGTCTGATTGTAAGTGATGAAATCAGGAAGTGATTGTATATACCTAGGAACAAAGCATTGATAATGAAGTGTTTTGTGTTAATGGAAGGTTTCGAAGATGAAAGCTTGGAATCTACCACTCCACCACCAGAGATCGAAGCTCCTCCACCAAGTGTATCCACGCCACCACCTCTTCTTCCTCCTCCTGCTACTTCTGCTACTCCACCCCCGATGAATCCTCGTAACTCTACCAGAAACTCTGGCACAGGCGGTTCAGCCAACCTCAGCCATCTTGCAGCTCAACTCCTACTTCTCCTACCACTTTTGGCCTTCTTCTGACTCACAAAAGTTCGTTTTCTGTTGGTTTGACCATTTATGTTCATTTAATAATAAACTTCGTTTGATAAGCAAAATAATGTTCATTGGTTTGAAAGTGGTAATCTTATCTCTCTGTTACAATGTATGTTGACTTGTCTTAAAGAGCTAATATTTTTCTCATATAATTCGAGTTTAGTATTGAATTATTGATTACTCTAACGTGGCATGATTAGAAAGTCAACCACAAGGAAAAAAACCATCAACAACAATGTTGTCAGTTTCCATAAGATTTAAACCCATAAAATAGGAAAAGAAAATAGAAAATAATAGAAGGAGCAAAGTACAAAATATGAAGAGTAAAGGGGCTTTTCCGCAAAAAGAAAGAGTTGATTAACAGACTTATTTTTTTTTTTTTTTTTTTTTTTAATAACCGCTGGCAATTCCCCTATGTAATAACAGACTTATTATAACGGCTCATTTCAGAAGTCGTCTCCCTCCGGATAAAGAAACTCTTTGTCTTTGTCAATCTTCAGCTTCGGGGAAGAAGACGAAGATGCAAAATAATGGCTACTACTCCGATTAAACTAGTATTAGATGAGAAATTATTAGGTCGAAGAATCAAATAAGCTTCTCTGGAACAATACGAACGAGTCAAGCTGTTGACTTTTCCAATTCTTCAATTTCCTTACATATACGGGATTCGTCTAGGAGTATGTCGTTATCTGAGAAATTAAACGTATTTTTACTCCGGAGGTGTTTTTGTTATCTCCGAGAAGCTCTGAGAGCGAAGTCATGGTTGTTGCACGCCATGTGTTTGTGTTATTGTCTCTGTTAGTGGTGGGCTTTTGGGGTTTGGAGAGATGTGAGGCTTCTGGGAAGTTTAGCTTTGAAGTTCACCACATGTTCTCTGATAGAGTCAAGCAAACTCTTGGGCTTGACGATCTAGTTCCGGAAAAAGGAAGTTTGGAGTATTTCAAGGTTTTGGCACAGCGCGATCGGTTGATCAGAGGTCGAGGTCTTGCCTCCAACAATGAAGAAACCCCTATTACTTTCATGCGAGGAAATCGCACGGTTTCAATCGACTTTCTGGGATTGTAATACCTCTTCTCATCTTGATTCATAACTATTCGTTTTCTTCTTTATGGCATCCATATGATTGATGATGATGATGCTGTTTTAATTCATTTCTTATTGAATCTGATTGGTATATCCATGTGAATTTCAGCCTGCACTACGCCAATGTCTCTGTGGGAACACCGGCCACTTGGTTCCTGGTGGCTCTGGACACCGGCAGCAATTTGTTTTGGTTGCCTTGCAATTGCGGTTCCACTTGTATCCGCGACTTGAAAGACATTGGACTTTCACAGGTGCCTTTCTCCTCTCAAAATCAGATACTTTTTTTTCAGATATATATCTTCTTCGAACTATTTATTCCTGAACTCCTTCTCTTCTTTGACATAGAGTCGACCACTCAATCTATACAGCCCCAACACATCTTCTACAAGTTCAAGCATTAGATGCAATGATGACCGTTGTTTTGGGTCGAGTCAGTGTTCTTCTCCTGCAAGTAGTTGCCCTTATCAGATCCAGTACCTATCTAAGGACACCTTCACCACCGGGACATTGTTTGAGGACGTATTGCATTTGGTCACAGAGGACGTGGATTTAAAGCCTGTTAAAGCTAATATCACGCTTGGGTAAGTAATGACTTTGTTTTTCATAACAAAAACCGCCTTGCTGCTATTAAAACCTCTAAAAATATGTTCATTTCGTGTTCTATATATTGATATGCATAGCAAAACAGATTAACGATTATATTGAACTTAGTTTCAAATGCAGACACTGTAAGAACTAAAAAAGTAAAAGTCTTTTGCCTCTTTTGGAACTAACATGTGTTTACGATGCAGTTGCGGTCGAAATCAGACAGGTTTTCTCCAGAGTAGTGCGGCTATTAATGGTCTTCTCGGGCTAGGTATGAAAGATTACTCTGTTCCGAGCATACTGGCAAAAGCAAAAATCACTGCGAACTCTTTCTCAATGTGTTTTGGGAATATTATTGACGTTATCGGAAGAATCAGCTTCGGGGACAAAGGCTACACAGACCAGATGGAGACGCCACTACTTCCTACGGAACCAAGGTACATAGTAAATTCCAATTTGATTTGACAGCGAATAAAAGTTTTCAATTTGATGTATTTTTTAATACTGATTCTGTTTCTGTCTCTCCTGTGATCTTCTTTATTCCAAATGAAAATAGTCCGACATATGCTGTGAATGTGACCGAAGTATCCGTGGGGGGAGATGTTGTTGGGGTTCAGCTGCTAGCTCTCTTCGACACTGGAACATCTTTTACACATTTACTAGAGCCAGAATATGGTCTTATTACCAAAGCTGTAAGTGCCATAGATCAGGCTAATCATCTATTCTAATGCTGCCTGACCAAATTCATTGTACTAATACCATATCTGAGTGAAGTTTTCATCCTTCAAGAAACTTTGTGATGTTAAATCATTAGATATCTCATCTCTGTAATCTTTTCAGTGGGCGTTGAGATGAAGACTTGGTAGAAGAAATGTCATTTCTCCAAGCTTGTGTTTGATACATCACATGACCTTAATTATTTTACTTTTGCAGTTTGACGATCATGTCACTGACAAGCGACGTCCGATTGATCCAGAGATTCCATTTGAGTTCTGTTACGACTTAAGGTCATGTGTGCGGTCTTGTCATATGCTTCTTCTCGTTTTAGTAGAATTGTTGGACTTTCAAAGAATGCGAACACCAATAGTATAAAAAAGATGGGGAACATTGAATGTTAGGGAAGAACTGTATGAAATAGTTAAACTAGCTAAGTAATATGTCAATTAGCATGTCTCTATTCCACATTTGAATTCTGATGTTCTTCCTCTTCACATGCAGTCCAAACAGTACAACCATTTTATTCCCCAGAGTAGCGATGACTTTTGAAGGAGGATCCCTAATGTTTCTGAGAAACCCGCTTTTCATAGTGTGGAATGAGGCAAGACATGGGTGTTTTTCTTTCTTCCAGTTTCACATAGTTTCGTGAACTAGCGTCTTGATAATACATTTTTCTTTTTTTTTCCCACCTGAATAACAGGACAATACCGCCATGTACTGCTTGGGTATTCTGAAGAGCGTGGATTTCAAGATTAACATTATCGGACGTAAGTATCACAATACTGAGTTTTACACTGCAGATATTCAATATATAGAATTGAAGCAGAGAAATAAAGGGCATGTGTTGAATGCATTTCACATTTGGGTGGTTGCAGAGAACTTCATGTCGGGCTACCGCGTTGTATTCGACAGGGAGAGGATGATTTTGGGTTGGAAACGGTCTGATTGTAAGTGACCAGGTTCGGAAGTGACTGTATATACTTAGGAGCAATGCATTAGTAATGATGTGGTTTTTGTGTTAATGGCAGGTTTTGAAGATGAGAGCTTAGCATCTCAGGCTCCTCCACCACCAGAGACTGAAGCTCCTGCACCAAGTGTATCCGCTCCACTACCTAGTCATCCTCCTCTTGCTGCTGCTGATACACCTCCCCCAATAGACGCTCGTAACTCCACCAGAAACTCTGGCACAGGCACTGCAGCCAATCTCATCCCTCTCGCATCTCAACTCCTACTTCTCATACCTCTTTTGGCCTTTCTCTGATTCATTTTGTGTTGGTTTGAGTTTGACCATGTTATGTTCGTAAAACTATAATCTGAACCGAACAATATATTCATTGGTTTGAGAGTTGTAATCTTATCTCCTTCTTATAATGTATCTTTGTGTGTTTTGGATATTTTGTCAAAGATGTTTAACGTTTTGTCTTGTCAGAAAATGTGTTGTGACTTGTGACCAATGACCTTCACCAGAATCGATTCGTTCGTTCCTCTGTTTCCCAAAACCCATGTACAGGTGGAATTTGTCTATTGGTTCTTACGGACATACTTGTACTTCAAGCTCCAAATCTTTTGGTAGTATTGGCTCAAAACTATTAATCTCAAAGCTAAAGTATTTCGTAAAATCCGTTCATATCTTCATTTGGACCTTTTAATGTATCAGTTAAGGCTAGCAATCACACCTTTACGCAAGTTGTTCTCTGTATTTGTTTTATGTTAAGCTACCCATCTCTTTGAAGTAGTAGTCTTGCTGCATTATGTCTGATTTTTTTTTTAAACTCGGTTTCTTGTTCTGTTGGGTTATACTCTTTCTTATTTCATTCCTTGATTTACTTCCGTTTTACATATCACTAAATGACTCTTTGAGTTTGGAAGTACATGTAGTGAAAGATTTAAACTAACTATTGTCAAGTGTACATGTGTTATAGCCAACAGAGCACAAGTGTGGCTCTTTCAGCTTGCCCAGCTGACCGACAAAATCCAGACTATATTTATTGGACAATGTGAAAACCGCTCTGAAGCCTATGAAGCTATAGCACTAGTGCTGATTCTATCTCCTGAACACAACACTATGATAGTAGAAATCTGGAATCAAGAGAGCGGCATGCAATGAGGTATATATAATCTTCCCTTCCTAAGATGTGATGCTTTTTTTTGGCTGTTGTGAGGATTTGTGCATCAACAACTTAATTATGTCTTTCTCATTTTTTTTCTTCTCTCTTTTTATCTTTTTGTCCAGAGAGGAATCAAACTTCTTAGACATTCCCCCTTGAATGGAAAACTAGTACAACAAGAGATTTTAAAGTATTATTCCCAGAAAAGCAGGAATACATAGACACAAGGAATCAGAAATGAAAAGAAGAGAACCAGAGGAGAAGTTCATCGGTGAGGAGAATGGTAGCAGGTGAAAAGCGGCAAAGAGGACAGCAAATCTTGCGGCTGACATTGAACCACGTATCGACGCATAGACTATGAAACTCATGGGAACAAGGAAGAGACTTGATGACATCTTTTGCCTCCATTCTCATTAGACAAACACTACAGCACTCTTCCTCTCTTCCTCCTCCTCCCTGCACTCTCGGGTACAGCAAGGCCAACCACTTCTCCAGAACCTTCATCTTCTTCTCCGTCGTTGTTGGATTCAATGCACTCGGTGTTATCAATATAACAGAGTGTAAGAAGAGGCGTGTGTGTTGGAGAGGCAAACCAAAAAAAGGGGTTGGTCACTGTTGCGTGATTTGCAAGGCTCTTTAATTTAATGGATTACAATGTACGTTAAACACACCTCTCTCTCTTTATGTTCACACACCAACACCAGATCCTTACTTCTCACCTTCTTTTTCTCTCTACGTATCACCTTCTCTTCTTCTCCTCTTTCTTTTTATTTCTTTATTCATGCAGATCACATTCCAAAATCAATTTAAAAGCTCAATCTGATGATTCGGATATATAGATATGTGTGTGTGTCTGGATTTCCAACAGAAGTAATATCAAGATAAGAAGACTATCTAGATAACTTAGCTAATCTTAAATCTTTCTTTTAAAGATAGTTTTGCTTGTAATTAATTGGTAAATGTCTGTCTCTTATAAAATTGATTTGAAATGCCATCTTAACTATAATTAGGTCGTGATCCGTGAGGTGGTGACTTATCCCATTCACACCACTTATAAAATGTGTTTTATCTTCTTCTTTTCTAAAATTGCATAACTGGTCCTGAAGTTTGGTATTATTATGGAAAAACTCTATTTAAGTATGTTTGACTTGATCCAGCAAAACCAGAAGCCTCCATCTCTCTCAGAGGGTTTCTCTTAAGGTTTTTACACTGAACGATTCTTCTCCTTCGCCGCACACCTTCTTCTCCTTCTGCAATCATCATCCCTTGAGACCTTGACATAGCTATGATCGTGGGTTAATGGCGATTTCTGAATCCAACCCTGACTCAAATCTAAGCATCCAAGCTGGAGATGAATGGCAAAAGCTTCCTCTATTCGCCAATTCGTCACATCCAGATTCATCTCCCCCGGAACGGGTCTGCTTAAGGGTTTCAAACTTGTCGAAGATTCCAACTCTATTAAACACCTCTTCCAAGTCCACGCGAGGCTAATCACCTCCGGTAACTTCTGGGATTCTTCTTGGGCTATCAGATTGTTGAAGTGTTCTTCGCGTTTTGGTGATTCTAGCTACACGCTTTCGATATTCCGCAGCATTGGGAAGCTTTACTGTGCAAATCCCGTCTTTAAGGCTTATTTGGTCTCTTCTTCTCCGAAACAAGCGTTGGGGTTTTACTTCGATATACTGAGATTTGGTTTTGTTCCTGATACTTACACCTTCGTTTCATTGGTTAGTTGTATCGAGAAGACGTGTTGCGTTGATTCTGGTAAAATGTGTCATGGGCAAGCCATTAAGCATGGATGCGATCAAGTTTTGCCTGTTCAAAATTCGTTAATTCATATGTATACTTGTTGTGGTGCTTTGGATCTTGCAAAGAAGCTGTTTGTTGAAATTCCTAAGAGAGATATTGTGTCCTGGAACTCGATAATCGCTGGGGTGGTGAGAAATGGTGATGTTTTGTATGCTCACAAGTTGTTCGATGAAATGCCTGAGAAAAACATGATTTCTTGGAATATCATGATTAGCGCTTATTTAGGTGCTAATAATCCCGGAGTTTCCATTTTTTTGTTCCGTGAGATGGTTGGAGCAGGGTTCCAAGGAAATGAGAATACCTTGGTATTGTTGTTGAATGCTTGTGGTAGATCAGCTAGACTGAAGGAAGGTAGGTCGGTTCATGCTTCTTTGATAAGAACCTTTCTGAATTCGAGTGTAGTCATTGATACAGCTCTTATTGACATGTATGGAAAGTGCAAGGAAGTAGATTTAGCACGTAGGATATTCGATAGTTTATCTGTTAGGAACAAAGTAACGTGGAATGTGATGATATTGGCGCATTGTCTTCACGGGCGTCCTGAAGATGGGCTCGAATTATTTGAAGCTATGATCAATGGGTTGCTTAGACCCGATGAAGTGACATTTGTTGGTGTTCTCTGTGGTTGTGCTAGAGCTGGGCTTGTTTATCAAGGACAAAGTTACTACTCCCTGATGGTTGACGAGTTCGAGATCAAACCCAACTTTGGACACCAATGGTGCATGGCTAATCTTTATTCCAACGCTGGATTCCCTGAAGAAGCAGAGGAAGCTCTGAAGAATCTGCCAGAGGAAGATGTGACACCAGAATCTGCAAAATGGGCAAACTTGCTCAGCTGGTCGCGTTTCACAGTAAACCCGGCTCTAGGGGAGAGCATTGCCAAGTCCCTGATAGAGACAGATCCTTTGAACTACAAGTATTACCATTTGCTGATGAACATTTACAGTGTTACGGGAAGGTGGGAGGATGTTAATAGAGTGAGAGAGGTGGTGAAGGAGAGGAAAATAGGACGAATACCCGGGTGTGGCCTTGTGGACTTGAAGGAGATAGTCCATGGCCTTAGACTAGGATGCGAAGAAGCAGAAAAAGTGATCACTGAGACTAGTCTAGAACAATGCTACAGTGATTCACTGACATAATAAAGCTGCCCATAAGTTGGTCTGTTTTTGCAGACAAAGAGTAGTAAAATTGTTGTTTAGAATGGAAAGAAGAGAAAGTTATGGTCTCTCTAATTGTATTTGATCCTGTTTCATTTTTTGTTCTTTTTGGGGGTCAAATTTGCCAATTCTTAAATTCGAGAAAGGCTTTTTATAACAAAATCAATGTGAGGAGCAAAAAGGGTGATCAAAATCATGTGATCTATTTGAGAAATTGAAATTACCAGCTTAGAGAGATAAGACTAAAATGACTATGAATGCAGTTGTTTAAGTAAGTGTTGAATTAAAAAAAAAAAAAAAAAAGTTAATTATGAACAGAGAGCAAATTTAAATGCGGAGAGTCTGAATACGCTAAGATCTCTGAAAATTCGGTCAAAATTGAGACTTTCTCTGTAGAGTAAAGTAGTGAGAAACAGAATGATCGCCGACGACGATGAGAAGTGGCTTGCCGCCGCCATCGCCGCCGTTAAGCAACATGCTTTCTATATGCAGCGCGCTATCGTACCACTCCTTCTCCTCTCCTCTCTTCTTCATCAATAAATTTTCCAGTCGGGATCTTAGAACCCTAATTTCTGCATTGTTTTATAACGAATCTCCAATTGTAATCGCTCGCAGGACTCCAACAATCTGAAAGACGCTCTAAAGTTTTCTGCTCAAATGCTCAGCGAGCTTCGTACTTCCAAGCTTTCTCCTCATAAATACTATGAACTCTGTGAGTCAACTCGTTCGTTACCATCATCTTCCTCTATTTCGTAGCTCTTGTGTATGAATTTCATTTCCTTACTGCGATCTGATTTGTTCAGATATTCGAGTTTTTAATGAATTGGGGACATTGGAGATATTCTTCAAGGAAGAGACAGGGCGTGGTTGCTCCATTGCAGAGCTGTATGAGTTAGTGCAGCATGCCGGTAACATTTTGCCAAGATTGTAAGTTTTTTCCTTTTATGTTGAGAGTAATACATTGTCTGATTTTAACTTAGTAGATACATGCATACTCATCAATTGAATTTCAGGTATCTTCTCTGTACCATAGGATCTGTATATATCAAATCCAAGGACGTTACTGCTACGGATATACTTAAGGATCTTGTTGAAATGTGTCGAGCTGTTCAACATCCTCTACGTGGTCTTTTCTTGCGAAGTTATCTTGCTCAAGTTACTAGGGATAAGTTACCCAGCATTGGTTCTGACTTGGAAGGGTAAGTCCACACAACTTACTTAGTCTTCCTTTAACCTTCTGTTAGTTGAGTTTTGTTTGAGGTATGAAACGCATGTTAAGAGGCAAGTGTTTTGCTCTTCTCTCCAGAGATGGTGATGCACACATGAATGCTTTGGAGTTTGTGCTTCAAAATTTTACCGAGATGAACAAATTATGGGTTCGAATGCAACATCAGGTTGGTTGGAAGTACTATTGATATATATTTCTGCTCTCATATCCAGCATGTATGTATTGAAATATAGTTGCGAACCGTGAGAGTCCAATGTCTGATCATGCTGCTATTTACTCTTTGTGAATTTTCCTACTGAGCTGAACCTGAGTTGAGACTTTCTTGTATCCAGGGACCTAGTCGGGAGAAGGACAAACGGGAGAAAGAAAGGAATGAACTACGTGATCTTGTAATAGCATTAACTTGTAACTGATTCTTCTCATCTAGAAATTTGCGAGCAATGGTTCTTATTATTTTCTGAAAGACACCTTTTTTCTTCTCTTTACTGCCTGATTAGGTTGGGAAGAACCTTCATGTACTGAGTCAGTTGGAAGGTGTTGACCTTGGAATCTACAGAGATACTGTTCTTCCTAGAATACTGGAGCAGGTCTGCTTTTTTGTCTCCCTTTAGATAGTTTCAGCATACAAGCTTCCGTCTATGTGTTGCGGGAAATGAATTATGTATCACTATGTTTTAAAAGGTTGTCAACTGTAAGGATGAACTTGCACAGTGCTACCTAATGGATTGCATTATTCAAGTCTTTCCTGATGATTTCCACCTTCAAACTCTCGATGTATTATTGGGTGCTTGTCCACAACTTCAGGTAATTTTTCATGTAACCGACCACTTCTTCTTTTTATACAGTTTAAAAAGAAAAAAATGATAAGACTGCTAATAAACCTCATCCCATCAGAACATGTTTCTCCTAATATCCTTTCTGTCATTTTGTTTTTCAGCCATCTGTTGATATCAAGACGGTCCTTTCAGGTCTAATGGAAAGGCTTTCGAACTATGCTGCATCCAGTGTGGAAGCGTTGCCTAATTTCCTGCAAGTAGAAGCCTTTTCAAAGTTAAATTATGCCATTGGGAAGGTAAATCTTGTATCTAATCATGAAGTCAAAAGGGATAACTGAAACTGAGACTTTAATGTAAGTTTATTTATTAGGGATGCTAGTATTAGAAACAGCTGAAAAATCTAGCTTAATCCCCATGGTGTTGTAATATTATTGTGTAATTTTTGTTTCCCTACTTTCCACTGATTGTATCACATTGATAATCTCTTCACAGTTGTATTTATAAACAGCTGATTGAGTCTACATCTATTATGATTCAGGTTGTAGAAGCACAGGTAGACTTGCCGGCCGCAGCATCTGTAACACTGTATTTGTTTCTTCTGAAATTCACTCTCCATGTCTATTCCGATCGTCTGGACTATGTAGACGAAGTTTTGGTATAACGCTTTCTGAGGATGTATAAGCGTGTTAAGTTTATTCATGTGTAGTACTTTTTTTTTTAATGCTTAAAGCAGTTCTGATTGTTGCTAATACACATTGTTGTCTCTCTTTTTTTCTTTAGGGATCTTGTGTTACTCAACTATCTGCCACAGGAAAGCTTTGTGATGACAAGGCAGCAAAACAGATCGTCGCATTTCTTAGCGCTCCGTTGGAAAAGTATAATAATGTTGTAACTATCTTGAAGCTCACAAACTATCCTCGAGTAATGGAATACCTTGACCATGAGACAAACAAAGCAATGGCAATCATTATAGTTCAGAGCGTTTTGAAAAACAATACTCATATTGCTACTGCTGATGAGGTTTCCGTCTCCTTCCTCGATTTAGTTTCTTCTTTCAGCATTCTCTATTGATGTGGAGTTTCCTTTTATTGTTTGTTACAGGTCGATGCATTGTTTGAACTGGCAAAGGGTCTCATCAAGGATTTTGACGGAAAAGTTGATTATGAGGTTCTAGAACCCTTGTTCGTCGATTCTTATTGCAATTGTGTTCACAGTATTCTAGTCATTCGAAAGAAATGTTTTTCTTTAGATAACTTACGCTTTCAAACGGGAAACTATGTTGAGTTCTAGATTGATGAAGAAGATTTCCAGGAAGAGCAGAACCTTGTTGCACGGCTTGTTCACAAGCTCTACAGTGATGATCCAGAAGAAATGTCTAAGGTGTGTATTATAATTAATAGAGGCGTTACTATCAATGTGGCCTGTGTGTGCGATTCTTAATTCGTTTACCCAACTACAGATTATTTTCACAGTAAGGAAGCACATCCTGGCTGGAGGACCTAAGCGTTTGCCTTTAACTATACCACCCCTTGTCTTTTCCGCTCTCAAGGTTTGTATTTTTTACTGATCACTTCTTCGCTCCATCTCCAAACTGGAAAAGTTTAAGCTCAATTTAAAATTTGGGACGGTTGTGTCGTTTCCAGTTTTGTTGTGGATTCCATTAAACATTGTGTTTGAATTTTGAACTCCGCACATTGTGTTGATATGCTTGTGCAGTTAATTCGGCGACTGAGAGGTGGAGATGAAAACCCATTTGGAGATGATGCATCAGCAACACCAAAGAGAATTCTACAGCTTTTAAGTGAGGCAAGTGTACATACATCTTGATTGTTAGAAATAGTGAGGACAGTTTAGTTTCCTTGCAAACATCATTGGCTTTGTCCCAGTGATATATAGTATCTCTTTTTGCCAGAATTTCTATGATGCCAGTCGATTTTGAATCTCATTTTTTTACAGACCGTGGAAGTTCTATCTGATGTTTCTGCACCTGATTTGGCATTGCGCCTCTACTTGCAGTGTGCTCAGGTATATGATCGTTTGGTGTATCCACTATCCAAACCAACAATAGATATAGTGCATGAGCTGAAATTTTCTTTTATTGAATCCTCAGGCAGCAAATGACTGTGAGTTAGAAACAGTCACTTATGAGTTCTTCACAAAGGCATATCTTCTGTATGAAGAAGAAATTTCAGTAAGTGAATTTCTTAGGAGGCTACATGCAACTTTCTGCAAGAAAGACCTTGACGTAGCTTTAAATTTTGGGTGTTTTAGGATTCAAAGGCACAAGTAACAGCACTACGTTTAATAATAGGGACACTCCAGCGGATGCGTGTATTTAATGTTGAGAACAGAGATACTCTGACTCACAAGGCGACAGGGGTATCTTTCCTGACAAACCAGTTGAGTAAGTGAGTGCTACATTGAGTACTAACTAGGCTAAATTATGTTGTTGTAGTACTCTGCAAGACTCCTTAGGAAGCCAGATCAGTGTAGGGCTGTTTATGAGTGTTCGCATCTCTTCTGGGCTGACGAATGCGAGAACCTAAAAGATGGAGAGAGGTATGTGTACATATGAATGTATACTCTAAAATACTAAAATCTTAAAAACTTACGATTGGGAGCTGTATGCAATTAAGAAAGGGAAAAAAATTGAGGTATATTGAGAGTTTGACGTTTGGTGGGACACCAGGGTTGTGCTTTGTCTGAAGAGGGCACAAAGAATTGCAGATGCTGTTCAACAAATGGCCAATGCATCCCGTGGTACCAGTAGCACTGGGTCGGTGGCTCTATATGTCGAACTGCTGAACAAGTAAGTTTCTGTTTTAGTTGCACCTATTTAGTACCTACACTGCAAAATACTTGTAATTGAGTACTATGCCAGCTGTCACCGCTTTCTCTTAATGGTTTTACGAGTCAAATGCAGGTATCTCTACTTCTTGGAGAAAGGAAACCCACAAGTAACAGGCGATACAATCCAGAGCTTAGCTGAATTAATCAGAAGCGAGACGAAGAAGGTTGAGTCAGAGCCGTTCATAAATAGCACTATGCGTTACATCGAGTTTCAGAGACAGCAAGATGGCATGGATGAGAAATACGAGAAAATCAAAATGGAATGGTTTGAATGAATTTCTTTTTTGCTTTTTTTTTGGCACATCATCAATAATCATATGGCTTCTCGTCTTGTTGCAGAAGCATGAAGAGTAATCTTGAGAAATAAAACTTGTATCGTTACTTGTCTTTTCCTAGTTACACTCTCTCTACCAATAAACATGTTTGCAAAGTTTGAAACATACAAAATATGATCAGTGAAAGAAGTGGTGCGAGTGTGATTGTGCATAGCAGCATCTGAGTGAATTGTAGAAGCAAAAAGACGTTGATCCGACAAACTCCATTAATATTAAGAACAAAAAAGGACCAATCAAACTTGGGTGTCTGTCCATTAACACATTGATTCATTCATTGTTAGAAGATTAATATACCAAAACCAAATACATAAAAACAGAGATTTCCAATCATCATAGAATGGAGCATGCCTTCTGCGCTTTGCTCTTCTTCTTCTTCTGCTTCGGTGGTTGCAACACCACTCGAATAGCTGCATCAAACACCGCCTTCACATTCTGCACTCACATTATCAATATTAGCATTGACATTGACATAAGAAATTTGTCACAAGAGTAGACTAATCAATATACCTCTTGAGTTTTGGAACTGCATTCGATGTAAGTAGGTGCTCCTATTTGCTTCCTCAGCTCCTCTCCTTGAGCAGTAGTAATCGGGACAGCGCCAGGATGGTCGATAAAGAACTGTTTATCATCTCGAAGATCTGGAGAGCAAAGACACAAACTTAGTCGCACCTAATAAAGTAAAGGCGTGAGATCAGTAAAAAAAACAATGAAAATCTCACCAAGCTTTGTTCCAACAAGGATGATGGGGACACCAGGTGCGTAATGTTTCAACTCCGGGATCCACTGCAAACACAATTTGTGAGAAGAGTTCACAATGTGATGAAAACTCAGTAAATATGAAAGAAGATTGATGGATTCTTTTACCTTTTTGGAGACGTTTTCATAACTGGCTTTACTGATAAGAGAGAAGGCCAAAATGAAAACATCTGCTCCACGGTAACTCAGTGGTCTTAATCTGTTGTAATCCTCCTGCCCTGTTTTTTCATACCCCAATTTTCAAAATATTCAGATCCAAAACCAAAAGTATATAAAAAACCATATTCCGAATTCAATACAAGATAGTAAAATGAAAGACCTGCAGTATCCCACAATCCAAGATTCACAGTGCTTCCATTAACAACCACATTTGCACTGAAATTATCGAAAACGGTAGGCACATAATCCTGTATATTCACAAATTCAAGAACATGAGATATATGTTGTTGTGCTAATGAAACAAGAAACATGAGAGAATGAGTTGGACATAACCGTAGGGAAAGTGTTGCTCGTGTAAGAAATCAACAAACAAGTTTTTCCGACAGCTCCATCACCAACCGTCACGCACTTTACGAACCTCGAAGCGCTCATTTCCCCTCAAAGATTATTAATTTCAGGGATCTCAAAGATTTAGCGTTCAGATCTTCAGAACTATATAAAACAGGCCTGAAATTGGAGAATTCTTGATATTTTTACAAATCGGCCATCTGGGCATTGCGGATTCGAAAGGATTGGACTTTGTCCCAAAAATTGGAAACCCTATTACCCAAAGAAAGAGTGGAAACAAAAAAAAAAAAATTGAAAATTGGAAAGATGACAAAAACGAAAAAAACCAAGAGTTAGTTATGGCCGGGAAAAATGGCGCTGAAACGTTCTGCTGGAACAAAATAATCGCCAACCAAATTTGTCTCTTCTTTCTCTTTCTCTTTTAATAGCTCCCAACTAATCAAAACACCAAACTTACCAATCAATCTATTGTCTGTTTATTTATGGGAAATCAAATTAGGCACTCCTCTTTTTCTGCCGCTCAAACGAATCATCTCTCCTTTCTTCTGTTACGTACAAATCATGAGTGTTTGATTATCTATCACTAAACATGCTTACTTCTTTAAGCAATGCCCTTAACTACCTCACTAACTAGCTAACAAACACTTGTCCAAAGTTAATAATAGGTTGTTAGGTCACCTCCCAATGATTTCACTTGTTTCAAGCAATAATGATTCAATGAAAAGTCTTTAACCAATTTCATTTTCGAAAATAGCATAAACTCAACCTAACATTTTACCAAAAGATTTGGCTAGGATCAAAGCAAAAACATGGTGAAACAATTTGTTTGATTTGTCTTTCTCTCCTTAAGGAAGCAACCTCTTGACCTCCTCTTGATCCTCACCGATGCTCTTAGCTTGGTTGTACACAGACTCAAAGGCTTGCATACACACACTTGAAAACCCAACCATTGCCTGAAACACATGAGGGAATCCCATCTGCAAGTTATTTAGCGTCATGGCTCTAGTCACGCTCACTGACTTCTCATGCTTACTTTTCTCTTCTTCTGCTTTTCCTTTTAGCATCTCAACCTTTACTCTCTTCTCTATCACCGGGTTCTTTTTCCTGCTCTCAGGCACCGAGTATGGACTATACTTGCTCTCCAGCGCTCTCAGCGCAGCCGATTTCTTCTCAAAATCTTTTAACATGGATTCTGTTCTCTTCTTCTGCTTATGCTCGTCCGCTTGTTGAGCCACAATTCCATGGACTGCGGTTAAAAAGCTTTTGATCCCTTCAGATGCTACTTTATCAGGGATCCGATCAATAGCCAAATGCCATTCCTCGCAGAAACTGTAGATTTTTGACTCGTAGCTACTCCTAACAAGCGGATTCTTGCTGAACTGGAACAGACTTAACCTGAGCCAACCCGTGAGAGATTGGATGTAGTCACGCTGAGCTTTGACCAAGTTGCAGAAAGAGTGATGCCATTGTTGGACCTCGAGCTCAAGCTGAAGAGTTGATTGTCGGTGAAGCTCGGATGTGGGTTCAGTGGAGGGGATGGTGTTAAGGTACTTAAGCTGCTGAACAATATGGGTTTGAACCTGGTGGCTCTCGTACATACTCCTCCACATGCACATCAGCCTACATTACATTATACAAGAAGAACCTTGTTCACATTGACCAAATGGAGATACTTTAGATGGGAATGCACACAACTAACCCTTTAACAAGCTCTACGAGCTGAGGATAAAGCTCGGTCTCTCTGAGCTTGATGATCTCGTTAGAAGCGCTCTGGATGGCTTGTGAAGATACTGAGAGCTGAGATTCTAACTTCTCGACGTCTTTCTTAGCCTTCTCAGTCTTGACATACTCAGCTCTCTTCATCTCAAGCCTCCTCACTTGCTCCACTTTCTTCTCATGCTCCATCTTTATGCTCTCTGCATTCTGCAAATACCCACATTCACAAAACAACAAACACTCACTACTTGGCAACATATTTGTGCCAGTGTACATAACACATTATTCATCAGAATTAAGTACACACGTGGGTCTCTTACACTATCTGCTCACGCTTGGACCCACCACAAGCCTTTAATGCCACATGAATCAACCAAATTCCAAAACAAAACATTTATCCATATTTGGATGAAATCAAACTTCAAACTTAATTTTCAAACTTCTTCCACAAAGATAAATCCAAGTCTAATTGTTTTGTTGAAAGATTGAAACTTTATGAATGAAATGAAGTCAAAAAGTGAATACCTTGACCTCCTGATAAAGCTTCTTCTCCCAAGCATAGAGTCTATCCACTGTAGAGGAATGGCTACCAACAATGCAATTCCCTCCAATTACTCCTCCTGCGTTGCTGTATTCATTCAACTTAGGAAGAGCAAATGCTCTTGTCCAAAACGACGTCGGATTCAGATTACATTCGTAGTTACTATACATTTTCCCTGAAGACAGACACAAATCAAAATCACTCAGGCACCTGTAGTAATCATTACGAAGAAGAGCTTGATTGTTACCTGATTTGGTAAAGTCAGTGATAGAGGTTGAGATTTCAAGGAGAGAAGAGAGAGGTGCACCAGAATCTGCAGCTTTAAGAAAATATTCATCGACTTCTTTGATAATCTCCATAAGATCTTTACCATTCCTCGACACCACAACTGCTAACTCACTTCCCGTCGTCGTCGTCGTCATTGTATCTTTAGAGAATCCACTCACTACAGACGAAGCTTGAGGAGTAGCTGTCGTCGGAGCCGTCGTCACAGCAGCGTCAGAGCCAGTTCCGGTTCCTGTTGCGGTTCTTGTTGCGGTGGTTGTTTCCTCCTCCCACTCTTCCTCGGAGGAAGAAGGAGGCGGCGGTATAAACGGATCCCAGAAGTCCCATGTAGAAGAAGGCGGAGGAGGTGGAGGTGGCGGAGGAGGAGGAGGCGGAAGAGCAGAGGAAGTGGTGGTGGTGGTCCATGTGGTAGTTTCGGAGCCAGGGCTTAGAGGAGGAGGAGGAGGACGCGGCGGCGGAGGAGGAGGAGGAGATGGGGACGGAGGGTTGTGGTGGAGGTGAAGAGGAGTTTCTTTGGAAGAGAAGTGAACAAGGGAAGAGCCGACGGCGCGTAGAGAACGGAGATAAAGCGCGTGAGAAACAGAGAGAGTTTGTCTAGCTTTAACAAGATGTTTCAAGTATCTCTTCCTTGCTTTACAACGAGACACTATCTCTTTGCTATCTATTCTTGACTGACAACAACCCATTTCTTAAAGTACTCTCTGTCTGAAAAATGAAAAAAAATGGGTCTTTCTTCTCTCACTCACTATTCTTCTTCTTCTTCTTCACCATGCATCAAAAACAAAAGTCACTCCTTTTCTCTTTTCTTATCTTCTTCTGTCTTCTCAACTAATCTGATTTGAACTCAAAATCTATCTTCTTCTTCTTGTGCTTACCTCGTTTGTGTCAAAAAATTAACCAAAATGAAAAAGAAAAAAGAATAAGAAAAGATCTAAAGTTTGTCTTGATCTGAAACTCAAGAGTTTAACTTTAGGATTGGATGTTGAGGTTGATAGTTTTTATTTTCTTTAAGAGAGAAAAAAGGGTTTTTTAAAAAAAATTTGGCTTAGAAGGCCACTTTGGCTTCCCTGAGGAATGTAGTTGGAATTTGGGACTCTTCTTTTTCCAGTTTAACCTCACACTCACCTTAAGCTTTGGTCGGAGAGCCCTTTCCCCCAATTAAATCTCTTCTTTTTTCTTTTCTTCCAAAAACCACAACAGCCCATTTGACTAAAATATCCTTTATTTCTCAATTTTATTACAAAATGTACCATGGAATTATCAAAATTCAATTAACAAATTTACCTTTTTACCTTTTTCTGACAGTCAAAGTTTACAAGACTCGAGTTAATGCGGATACCAAAAATGCCTAACTTTCAAATAGAGAGAGAGATTAAGGGAAAAAAAAAACAAAAAGGATTTGTTTTTCACTTAACGGCTAACCAAGTTTTTACACCGTTTCATTTGCCGTGGTTAATAAAATAAGAGGGGCACTTCCGGAACTTTATACAATTTCAACGGATGTATTTTGGCCGAATTAAAAGAGAGGGTTAAGTATTTTACTTCACTTTAGCAAGTGGTAAGCGTTTCAATAAATTGGAAGCACAAGAGTCCAAATTGATATATAACACACATGATTGGTTTAACGATTACTAATTTCCCCTTAATTTTTGCTACAAACTTTACCACAAAAGTTGAGTGAAAGAGTAAGAGCAACCATTGATTGAATTATTGGTGATGCAGTAATAAGATTTTGATGGATTAATGAATGGTAACCACTCATGTCATCTTCCATCTTCTAGTTCTCTTTCTCTCATTAGATTTTTACATTTTACAACACTATTCTTGATCAATAACAATAATTGTAGACTGGCAAAGAAACTAATAACTTCAACTTTTATTACTGGTCAATTAAGACAATAATTGTGAAAAAAAAAATGGCAGCAACTTTAAGCTGACAAAAACATTAATAAATTACCAAGAAGAATTAAGCTCATCTCCCTTTTTGCTTCCTTCACTAGACTTAAGAATTATAAAAATTAGACTGATAAAAAATAAGTAAGAGTGGTTAGAGATTCTGATTGATACACAAAGTGATATCCTGGAACACCTTGAGCCTCTTCTTGTCCACTTTGGTTTCTGTTCCCAAAACAGCAGCCAAAATCGCATCTTCAAAGTCTTTGTTGTCTGGTAATCCACAGTCTGTTGCTTTCTTCTCCATTGACAATCTCCTTCTTGTGCTTGTGTTTGTCTCTCCTTCATGATCATCACCACCACCACCACTCAATATCCCCAACTCTTGGCTCGACGATCTCGTTCTCTTCAGCTTCTCGTTGTTACTGATGATCAACTTTGAAGAGAAGAACGGTTTTGCATCAACCCTTAATGGGTTTACTACTACTGGTGGATTCACACTCATCTTCACGTTCTCATCACCGAATCCATCACCATTGCTCAAACCAGGCTTAGATTTGGGCTTCACGTTCTGCTCACTACAAGGCTGAGGCTGCCATATAGAGGAAGATCCAAAGATTGCATCAAAGAGCCTTCTTTGTTCAACCTTATCATCTCCTCCTCTTCTCATCATCTCAGATCCAAGATCATTCAGCATCTGTTGCGCTCTCTCGTAAGCTTTAAGATGCGAATCCACACCTCTAGGACCATCAACAACCGCTGGTTTCACACGTCGTAAAGTCTCTTTGGCCTCATCGATCCTTCCTTGCTTCATAAGGCAGATACCAAGGTTGCACATTTTGTTGTTGTCCGGTGCTATAGATAAAGCTCTCCTGTATGCATCTTCAGCTTCCACAAAATTGTCTCTTTGCATCAGAGCCCATCCCAAGTTTCCCTGTTTTCGAATCATTATCCAATTTAGAATTAGCATAAACTTGGTAATTGCAGGAACGTTAAGCATATATTGAATTGCTCCTTACCAGTAACCGAGTGGCTTCTTGCTCCACAGAGACTTGAAACTTCTTGCCTTGAGATCTAGCCGTTTTGGTTCGTTTACCATTAAAGGCGAGTCCTTTCTGTATCAAGAAGAGCTTATGTTTCAGAAGTCCAATCTGGTCATCTAATCTCCCACACCTCTGCAACAACAAATCCATTTCAATACAAAATTAAACCAAATGCAAAATGAAACAGAGGAAATAGGGTTTAGTGTAAAGGACGGACCTTGTAGAGATCTAAGAGGATATTGTCGAGAGATTCCTGGGCTTGATCTGAACATCTAACTCTGAGTGATTTAATAGCTTCAATGGCTTCTTCAGCGCGGTTTTGTTGCTTCATCACAATAGCCATGTCTTTCAAAGCACTGTCCACTCTATCTCCAGCATTAATGGCCTTCCAAAACAGAGGAATTGCTCTCTCTGGATCCTTCTCCACCAACTGATCCATAAACAACCACACAAACAACAATCAGAGACAGAACAAAAATGCAAATCAAACACAAATCCAGATTCCGTGGACTTCAGATCTAACGAAAGGATATAATCAATCACCTGAACATTCTTTGCTCTGACATAAGGACTGTCTCCGACAGGAACTTTGTGGATAGCATGAAATGATTCAGATTGAGTCCGAGAGATACCAAGTGGCTTTGCAGGAGAACAAGGGGCTGATTTGGTCGGCCTGAATACATCTCTCATCATCTTTGGAATCGAAATGGAGAAGAAGAAGAAGAAGAAGAAGAAGAAGAAGAAGATGAAGACAAAAGGAATCTCGGCGGAGGATTAATGTGGGAACAAGGTTAGGATTTTAACAAGAGAGATCTGAATTATTATAAAAAGGTTTAAATCTTCGACCGTTGAGATCACTAGCCGTTGCGTTGCATTATGTATTTTTCTATTTCCGCGATTTACTCCGGAGGAGCGTTTCTTATCTACTCCCTTAACTTTCATATATTTTCGGATTAGCCCCGCTAAAAGAATATCAACAAATTAGGACAAAATAAATTTTGAGATTGATTTATAAAGAAACATATCCATTATAATTTAAATTTCTGTCTCAGTACATTGGTTTGGTGTTCAATGATTCGGGAAAAGTCACTAGAAAAACGAATATGGGCCCGTTTACATCATTATACGGCCCATCAAGCCCACAGTTGGAGTTCTTCCATAATCTTGCACAAAGTATCAAAAGCCGCTCATGTTGTTGTGGATCTTGGAGTTTTGGGATCCGCGTCCTTTGTCCTTGTATGTGTTTCTTGAAGACTGTGACTTTCTACGACCCCTGGCTGCTGTCATGGCTCTGCGTCTTACCTTGCCCAAATTTTTCTCCAGCTCTGCATCTTTCTCTTCCTCCTCCTGTACAAAGGAAGTAGTAACACTGATTTTTGCAAGTGATTTTCATTACTTCACACTCTCTTGAGTTCCTAACACAGAACATACTAACCTCATTGCTTTCACCGTTCTCGGTATTATCCAACTCAACTTCTGCCTCAACACCATCTGAACTTTTTTGCTCCTAAATCATGCCAAAAGCATATACTGTAAGTAGAGGACATCTTTACTTGGTACATGTTTCAGTTATATGATGAATTGGAAAGTTTTATACCTCGTCTTGCAACTGTAATGATTTCAATTCATTTAGGTTTCCTTCTTCATTTGATTCACAAGTCTGCTCTTCATCATCAGATTCCTCATCCTCATCAGAATCTTCACTCTTTTCCACCCCACCTTCAATAAACTATACAAGACAGAAACCACATATTCATTCTGTATTCCAGAGGAAACAAAACCAGAGAGAGACCAATGCTGCAAATTAGACTGCCTAAAATTTGAAATATATACGCAGTACCAAGAAACGATTGATTGAAGATTGATAAGCAGTGGTATAACTATGGTCATAGGCTCACGTACTTTATCGAGGTCAGTCTGCTCCTTTCTTGTGAACCCACTAGCTTCTAGATCTCTATCCAGAGCATTAGCATCTTTAGTTATATCGAAAAAAGATGGTCTGCTGTTCTCATCCACCTCCGTCTCCTCTGATTCACCTTTATCTTCATGGAAAGACATATTAAACCTGGAAGAAAGGACCAGAGTTCACAGAAAATTGAGAAGTTAAGGGTCAATCAACACATGGATTCAGCGACGGAGAGACTATTTATTACTAGGTATTGTGTACAAATGATGTATGTATATACTAAAAATAAATCAAATTGGTAACTAACCTTTTTCTGAAAAACTTGAAGATGCATTCGATATCACGGTCAAAGTACCTGAAAGACAAAAGTCATAAACAAACCAAGAGGCAAGAACACTGTATGGAAAATTGGAAGAGAGTACTGAGGCGTGGTGCAGAGATGAGAAATCACATACATTTGTGCATTTCGGTGTGAAACAGAAACCATTTGTGGAAAGTCGATCATTGTTATCTTCTCTTCATCATCAATCTAAAATATACATACATAAACAGGATGTGTCAATGAAAATTATTAGTAAGCAGAGGAAAAAACTAGCATGCTTACAGAAGTATTACTTAACTTAAATAAGAAGGCAGCTTCAAATAAATGCATGATATTTTCAGCAAAAATAGCTTACAAATAGAAGAAATTATTCAACTAGATATATCAAAGTATCTCACCATGATGTTAAACTCATTGAAGTCACAGTGAATTAGACCGTGCTCAGCCAAACGAACAACAATGCCAATGATCTTCTCAAAAATTGTCTCAGGATTCTGTAACTGCTTCACCTGAACCCTGCATAAATGAAAAAATGTGAAAAGATGTGATTCACAGCAGAAAGGGTGCAACTGTTTCTTAGTGAGTGAATGAAGCAAATGGTTCAGCTTTCTAAGAAACCCGAATCCAATGCATAAACACCTTAATATTAGCTAAAAATCAATATCCGACCACAACTCATCGGTAGATGATGACTAACAGCATAAAAATCATAACAACTTTTATTTGTGTGAATATGTAGTTAGGTCCTTACATGGGGTAACCTTGCACAAGGGACATGATAACACAATGCCTATTGCAGTCAATAGCTTTTGGAACCGGAAAGTCATGTTCTTCCAAAGCCTGCTCACCCAGAAGCCCAACAAACATTAGGCAAATAATAATAAAAGATGATACACCCACAATAATAGTGTTACATTAGTGGAAGAAGTCAATAACCTTCATAAAAGCAAATTCCTTGAGAGCTGCAAGTCGAGAGAGATACAACCAGCTAAAACTACTACGATGCCTCAAGTAGTCACGCTTAGACTTGACAGCCCTAAAGGAGGTTCTCCCTAGTCTATGTAACTTCATTGCCAGAATAGTTCCATCTTCCTGAGCGACCTCAAATATGTCTATTATATGCAAAGAACCAATAAATAAGATACACCAGCCACCGAAAAGATCTCTTCGACACACCAATAAAATAAATAGGAAAACAACGTACCTGACTCTTTACCGACACCAATTTGACGACCAACACCGGTAAATACACCACGGTTGACCAATGTTTTAATGGCAAGAAAGTCATAACCGAGATAGGTGAGTCGGAATCCATCATCTAGACAAAAAAGAAAGAAAGAAATAGCCATTACATTCTGCAACTTTACAAGACTTCCAATCCTCATAAGACATATCAAGAAAAGTTACTAATGTCTTTAGAGATAATTCCTCACATTTAGAGGCATCGTGGTGCAAAAGCTTATACTTGAGCAAGTTCTTCAGGACCTTGTATGTGCCTCCATGTCTGTGAATATAACAGGAATGTGAATTACACAATAAGTTTCATCATAACGAAAAATAAGCTTAATAAAGAATGGAAACATCCAAAGCATCAAAGACCGGGACATACTTGAGAGATGCAATGCGCTCCACGAGCTCAGAAGGAACAATCTCATGCTGCAAACACGAAAAACAGAGTACTTTTCAGAAAAGCAAAATGGTGATACACTAAAACTCTAAACCCTAAATTTCAATTCCAATTCCAATTAGAGAGGAGCACTAACGTTTCGCATTCCCATCTCGACGGCAGTGAGAACTCGAAAATCATCTTTGGATAGATATCTCAACACATTCACGTCAAGCTTCATCCTTTAAGCTGCAGTGTAAAACCCTTTCTACTCTGATGATCCAACTTTCTGAATAAAAAACAATTTCTCAAAATGCTGTGATATTGAATGAAACCCTAGACGACAAACCTAGAATGCCACTAAAAGGTAAGAACTTGAACAGGTAAAGTAATCAATAGATGTAGTACGATTAAATCCTGACGAATCTAGGTAAAGTTTGGGCAAGAACAGAGAAAATTAGGTTTATCAATCGACACAAACCTTGAAAGATGGAGATAACTTATGTCTAGAAACGAAATCACAGAAGCGATGCGAAAGCAACTATTGATTGTGAAGAAGCTTACGACGGCGGCGGTAGAGCGAAGAAATTCTTTTTGTGAACTCCTTGAGACAATCAATTGAATTCTGTATTAGAAAAATCTTGGTATACGTAATATTCTAATAATTATATTTTATTTGACAACATAACAACAAGGTCGTTGTAGTATAGTGGTAAGTATTCCCGCCTGTCACGCGGGTGACCCGGGTTCGATCCCCGGCAACGGCGAATTTTTTTCTTTCAATATTTTTAAAGTCATAACGATACCTTTACGTTATGGGGATTGGGGATACTCAAAACTATTGTGGTTTTTGCCAACTACAACCTTCTGGGTTGCTGGCAATCTTTTTGGTTATCAAAGTTGATGTCAGTTCATCGGTTCCACTTTGTAATGTTGTTCTCTTCATGTTATTCGTTTGGTGAACAAGTTAATGGAGGTACATGGATGGTTAAAAACGGTAAGTTTTTCACAACGGACGTTATAAGAAAAGAGACACATGTTAAGTAAGAAACAACGTTTCCATTTTCCAAACACGAAACCTACAACTCTTGAGAAGCTCTTGTGCGCAAATGCAAAGTCATCTAGCATATTGAACATGCCATAGTACCAAACGACAAGTTTTGAAACTCCGCTAAAATGTCAATTAAGATTTAAAGCAACAATGTCAAATAGGCTAGTAATCCAACAAAACCATTTCATGCGGTCTAGATTTTCTATTCAACCCTTGAATATCCTGACTTTGAACCAGCATTACAACTCAGAATCTGAGACCGCTGCTGTAAGATCTGGTTCATGTTTCCTTCGCAGGGCCTTTCTTGGCCGCTTCTGCTGCAGCCTTCTCTGCTTCGATCTCAGCAACAATAATATCAATTTCTTCTTCTTCTAGTTGCTTCAGAACACCTTCTTCCTCTCGTGTCATTACAGCAACCTCAATGTTCTTTCCCCCACTCTCAACTACCTGCAAAATGCAAATCCTTTTCAGCTTATTTACAAGTTCCACTACTTGTGCATTTCCTAAGTAATGCTCATCTAACATTATTATCCAACTCAATTAGTAAGGTATTCTATATTGTCGAAAACTTTTAACATTCACTTTTAACCTAAAGACACCTTTAAAAATGAAGGTTCAAAGTGTGACATGTTGCTCACAAAATCACCGGCTTAGGCCAGCAAAATAATGAAAAGGTGTGATCTCATTGTCAAATTTAGTAATAAGGCACCCAGACAATAGCTCAAAAGAAAACTACTAGGTTTAGTTATAGAGCATGATAGAACAAACTAACCTCAAGCAGAGCACGGATAGCGAGCTTAACAGTTTCTTGGCCAGAGCTTTCTTTATAGTTTTTCTCCAGAAACTCCCTAATTGAGTTAGAGTTTCTCCCAGTTGCATTAGCCTTCCAAGCAGAGAAAGTACCAGATGGATC